AAACCAAAGTGCAACGGAGATAAGAAGAATAACTATTACAAGAGAGACGACAATCGCACCGGCAAGCTTGGACGTAGCGTTGCTTTTTGCCTTACGTACCCGCGAGAATGGAGAAAACTAGACATTCTTAAAGTTATTCCGCGGAATTGGTTTGGTCTTTGGCACTGGTCTGTTTCAAGTCCCTTGTATGTGGTGTGTGATGGTTTCCTCAGGTTCTAGCCTTGGAGTAGTAGTAACACAACTGGCATCGACATGCCCCCCGGTTGGGACGAGCCTCGTAGGCGGAGGGATATAGAATTAAGCTGCGAGCAGTCTCCCTTCGATGGTCTGTCAGCGGTACAAGCATATCATATTAGCCTCGTCACAAAGGATACCTCATGCTCTTATATCCGAAACCAGGGCTGCAAATCATTCACGGATGAGAACTGAATACTGTACCTTAGGCACAGCTCAGGGCTCTATAAAGGCACCTGCGCACGCTGCCATTCTTCAGCAGGTAAAGTTCTTGAAGTTTGCTCACTTGCTAAGGCGTAAAAGAAAATACGGGACGTGAGGGTATAGAATATGGAGGCGGTATTTAATCTGCTCACCAGCTGAGTTCAACCTCCACTTGCCCCACAACATCTTCCCTCGTTGCCTTCCGTCTGGCCTCGTTGACCGCTAGGTAGGTAGTCTCCTGTTCATTACTATTAAGCCGCATAACCTGAGGCTGCCACTGGGGTCTAAGGCCAAGAAATGCATAAGATGCCACAAGTCTTTGCTAGCTCTGCCATAACTTGAGCACGAATTGTAGGGTTTTATCTGCTACTGTATACCGCGTGCCAGGGTATTGGGCTAATCAGGAAACAAAATGACACGAACACCGGGACATCGCTCGAAGTCCGTGAGATCAAGGAATACCTGCCCCCCAGATATTTTCCATGTTTCCCAAGCAGTCAGTTGGAATCAATAGAGCAGTTCTAGAAGACCTCTGGACCCTAAAATAACAGAGGCTGTATGGAGGAAACTGCTTTTGCAGTATCCAAGAAACTGGGCCTGATGCTGAATACTCTAATATTTAACTACACTTATGGTAGCCGCTTCGGGCCCATTGAATTAAATCTCAGACGCACCTCCCATACCTTTCCCCTCGACGTTGCTATACGTTTTGTCAATACTCAGACTATTCCGATAAATTTTGTTTTAGCACCCTTGCACACCCTTCCAACGTAGCCGTAGTAACCTGAGACGCACCAACCCAGGGTTCCATCGCTTCTGCATTTTCTTTATACGCCAAGCGATTCTCCGCAGCTGTTTCGACGCTGGGAGTGGCTAGAACCTTGACGAACAGAGCAACGGATGCAAGAAACACATAGAATTGTTGCACGATACTGTTCCAAGGAACCGTCCTTACAATAGAGACGTTTTCGGCACAGACAATGTAATACGACCGTACTGTAAGTTTACCACTTGCTGGTTTTCAATCCTAGACAAGCGGGGAGAGGAATGACAGATTTTATGCTTCACCGATTCGAACTCCACGGCCGCCCACGGAGTCTATTCGGACCCGGAGTCATCTGTTTGAGACTGGAAGTAAGTTGCGATATAATACAGTGGGCTTGCAGATCAGCGTGTCGACCCCGTCGAGATTTAATTTTCCTTGACAACTATTGAATGGTCTTCCCGTCCATCGAAGTATAAGGGAGCACTCGCATTTACAGGATCAGTACTAGTGCGTAGGTCAATGACGAAGTAATCGTGTGTTTATTAAGCCGTGAATCCCTCGCCCAGAAGAAAGTGCAGCTGTTAACGGTAGGTATTAAATATGCCAGATCTGCTGTTGTTTATGAGGCATCGATATTCCGGCCGTCCAGTCGATAATAGTACAGTATTCGTCCGCTTCTATTGATGATCAAAGAATATTTAGCAGGGGAGAAGGCTTGGGTGAACCATGTATATGATATCAGTACGGCAAATGATCTGTGCAACTGGAGATCCACAAGACTACATACACTATATAGTGTCCAGTTCCTCCTTGCCTGGAGGGCTGGCGGCCAGTTAAGCACCCTGAGGCGCGTTCATGCTGAGTTCCAACTGCGACTTTCTCATTGCCAAACAAGTCAATGATTCAATCAGCTTTGCCATACCATCGGCCCGAGAGCTTACGGTGTGAATAACAGAATCAGATATGTGCCCTCTGCGTGGAATGTCCATTAAGCATTCCTAAATCAACGAATACTAGTCGGCTAATGATAACGTATCCCTGCTTTCAGCATCAGAGTATTGTTACAGTGGCGCGTCAAAAGTGAAAATCCAGTGGTACTACTGCTAACTTGATTAGGAAATTCCCTGCTATACTGCCGCAGATTAAGATACCCTCTCTTAAATTAACGACATCATGATGCCTCACTAAAAGTAATCACTGTAGATGCGATTATACATATGTAGGCGCTATATTTCTGATAGAATCATTATAAGCTTCATAGCATGATATTATCCCTCGTGGGACTATTATGACTGCTAGTTCTTGGGAACTATGATACCTAATCAGGCTAGCGGTAAATATATTGGATTCAAACATTTGACATGCCACTGTAGCATCTTCCTTTACCACGCCTGCTGGCAGGTGAATGATACTGTGGCTTAACAGGCCAACTGCCTTCAGATTAGCGGGAATAGACCGAAACTGTAGCAGCTCCAGAGTCTATAAAGGCGAGTTTCCCAGAGCCTCAAGATCAGAGTCTTTAGAAATGCCAGGAAGTGCTAAATCATTGGTTATTCACCTGTCAAGGCTTCGTAGCAATCTTTTACATTCCGTAAAAGATAGCCCGAACCGGAATTGACATACTGGGATTTGGAAAGCCGATCTAAAATCTGTCTATACTTCTGTCATCCTCCGCTCCCAGCTTTACATAATTGTCGGACGAGGATACCAACCAGTTGCTCATTGCAGTAGGAGCAGACGAAAGCGAACGCTGTGGAATGTATATGCCAGGACACCTGGAGAGTGTCAATGTGACACCCTCCCCCTTCATTCCAGTACTATCCGGGATTACCGCAGGATAGGTAAAGGGTGCATTTGTCAATTTCGGAAACTTATAAACCTACTACTTCCTTATGTTTGGAATACTCGAATTATCTATGCCATCTAATCGGCGCTAGTCCATCATCAAACTGAAGTATCATCAAGATTCTCTTAATCGCAGACAACATGGCTGAACCTAAACCTTACTGTTGTCATATTTGCCATAAGTCCTTCAGAACGAGCGAGGGAGCTGCTGCGCATACAATCGATGTCCACCACTTTAAGTGTCCACAATGCCCGATGAAGTTTGAGTCTGCCGCCGCGAGAGCTAGGCACCAGCAAACTAAACATCATTTCAAATGTGCCCGTTGCCATCTCTCTTCAGGTTGTGACTACGCTGGACAGCCTACCACTGAACCGACCCCGCCTGTAACTCACCAACCGCCACTTGTCCAAGTCTCTTTGGACTTGAGGGCCTGCAAGTTCTGCAACAAACAATTCCGCAGTGAATCAGCTCTCGCCGATCACCAAAGAGATGCTCATACAGTGACCTTTCGTTGCTGCCCGTGTAATCGGGAGTTTTTGAATGAGACAGCTCTTCGGCAGCACCTTCGTAATAAAAAACACTGCAAGACAGAAACAAAATCCTCCCATGACTGTGGAGAGTGTAAGAAGAGATTTCAATCTGAGACCGCACTCAGGCAGCATCGACAATCTACCGTTCACAAACCTCTGGCCAAACTAAGCTGCCTGGGAAATGCATGCCGACTCACGTTCAATTCGCCTTCCGCACTCTTTCACCACTTAGAGAGCGGGAGTTGTTCCTCTGGCTGGACTCGACATAAGGTAAACTCGACATTGCATCGTTACGACAAGGACCGCATCCTCACCACCAACATCGTCTCGTTGGACACAATGTTCAGCAGCATGACTGGAAGTCCATCAATATCCAGCGTCTCGGATTTGGCCATTCTGACACCTGATGAATGGAGCGGGGACGATGATGATGATGGAGGAAACGAGCTTTCATTAGGAGCAATGATGTCGTCGCTCGTGAGGCGATCATTTCCATGTACTGCTGAGAGCTCAGCATACCTTCCAAATCTGTTCTGCCCTCTGTGTCTCGCAACAGGCAATGAAAGGGTTTTCAAGGATTTGAATGCTTTATCTGCACACATTTCATCGGCTGCACATGCTGAGAAGGCCTTCAGATGCCCTACAGAGTTTCCAGGTGACAAGAGTAAGGCATCGGATTCTGTGCGGCCAAAACTGTTCACCACTCTTAGTGGGCTTACTCAACATTTAGAGAGTGGTCAGTGCAGAAGAGGTAAATATACGCTGTGGAGGGTGCTTGATTATCTCCGGAAAGATATACTTCAACTTGAATGGCCGGGAAAGTTGTTGCAAAATTAGGCTAGGTATCTTAATCCGTGTCGAGCCCTATGAGTCAATCGCATGAGACCAACTTGGCCACGTTCAATAAATCTACCTCTGACCTCTGTACAAGCCCAATGACAGCCTCCCAGTCAGGATTGACTCATTGGCCACTGTCATGATAGCATCTAGAAAGCTTTTTTGGCGGCCATATCTGTATGCAGAATTCCTCTGGAGTAGATTGAAGCAGAATGAGCGATGGTCCTTCATGGTACATGTCCTACGTGGAGGATGAACATGCTAATAAGGGGATTATAGTAGTGGTCATTACGAGCTACCAAGGACTATCCGTCTGATGTGGCGGGGAAGAAGAGCCTGAATCATTGGTTGTTATGGCATCTTTAGCTAGCCGATTATCGTTAGTTTATACTCATATAATGTATAGATGGCTCTTAGAGTCAGGCTAATCAGTCAATGACGCTTCATCTGCCTGCAATGATACTACATGAGTACGTTAGTAGTTCAAGCATACCCTAAGATGGAGCACTCTGTCATCAATCCTACACCAGGGAAATTTTATATTACTACCTCGTGAGGAGAACATCAAAAGAGTAACAGTCCATCAGGTATGCAACACATGTAGAAGTTCTAAGAGGCTCTGGACGCGAGTGTCATCAACCCAACACTGGATCAAGACCTGCTTTTTCAGTTCCCCCCGTATCCATTGGTGTCTTTCCGCAAGGAGGTTGACCTCCGAGGCTTCCCCAATAGTGGACTGGAAATATCAGTCGATGGTCCTGTGCACACTAGAAATGTCTTACTGAGTAATTTTCAGCAATATCCAGAGATGATTGTGACGATGACGATTCTGAGTCACTTGGAGAATAACTAGGGTCCGGTTCTTCTGGTGCGATATAGTCATCGACAGCAATGAAGTTCTTGTCCGATTCGGTCGCAGAGTATACTGACTCCAACTCCGAGATTGATTCGATGTCCGTCCCATCGCTCAAGATCTCCAATCCATGATCGTTGTAGCTGTCCCAGGGCTGCTGAAATTCCGCCATGAGATCCTCTTTTCCCCGAGATTGGCTCTCGGTTTCGAAATTGAAACGCGCACTTGACGCACTCAAGGGTTGTGTGCTTTATATCATACAGTACCAGTTGCTTTGCATCTAGAATTATTAGTCACACAACGTGCGCTGTGCCACTGTCGCAACATGCCCATTCGAAAGGCTCTGTCGAAGATAATGTTCTTTTCGAACACTAAAAGAAGAATGTCCCCTTAAGAAGGCGGGCCCTTACTAGGCATATTCTGGAGGGCTCATATTTTCACTGCGGCCTAACAGGTATCAGCAGTGTATATCCAGCCACAACCAACATTGACATAGCATTGGTCCTCTAACTATAAAGTGCGTCGTTCCCGTGGGCGATTGGCCTTAAGCGCTCAGAGATAGGAAAATTCCATTCACTTAATTTTGGCATATACTACAAAGACTCAGTAGACCACTGCTTGTGGGCAGTCCTACTTCGAGCACGAAATCGGTCGTCTCTCTGTCTATCACCAGCTTCCGCGTTGTCTATGGCTACTTCAGCTCGCTCAGCCGTGCCAACGTCGTCTTCTGCAACATGGAGTTACTCCATTCTGGATTGTTTTACCCCGTGTGGTACATGTATGCTCCCATGACCTTTCACCTGACTATCCTGGGTTGACTGACTGTACATCCGCTGCTGATGTATAGGTCTGTACGCGTGCATCGCGCCCTGTCTACTCTTCGGCAAAACGCAGTCTCGCCTTAAAGATCGGCGCTTCAAGGCACACTCTGGTTGCAATAGTGACGTAAGATGGTATTTTGAAGTATATTTTTACGATCGAATTATACGCTAACCGCTGTCGTGGTCTAGTGCGTCTGTCTCTCACTCCTAGGTTGCTGTGGGCTCTATTGGATTCCTCTAATGCTTGGACGACGAGAAATAAGGCACAATTTTGCAATTCCAGGCTCGTGTCTGGGAGATTGCACAAGCTCCTTTTTCTGTCCCTGCTGTGCCTTAGTCCAGCAGGAAAAAGAAATCGAAGGCCGATCACAAATGATCGATTTTGAGTACCGTAGTCCACCAGTTATGAATTACGGAGCCTAACCACCTGCTGAGGTGCCCATGATCTGTGAGCAATGATTCGATGTTTCTGTCGTCTTCCTGGAAAGGTGATACATTATTTTCCAGTTATTCCAATGCGCACGTAATGACATGCATAGTCACCAAGGGAATGATCCCTTGCCAGGAATATTTGTACTGCACGAACGTGCAGTAGTCATAATGAGTAGGGACTAATTTGCTTCAGTTCCCAAGACGTCTGAGTCATATGGAGAATTGGTTGCTCCTTCATATCACAGCCACCTGTCGGCGGTTTGGCATCCCATCGATAGCGCATGATTGGGAGCGTTTGAACCGATAATGTACAGCGATTGATTACTATCCGGTAGCAGTCGGAGCTTCTCAGTGACGAGCCTAAGGCTCGGAATTGCAGGGGCCATAATTATGTGGAACCAAAGTAGCTCCAAGTAACCTTAACAGGACCCTTGTCCCAGTACGGAATTCATCAATATTGGACATGCCAGTGCCGGCTCAACCAAGGTCGGCCAGCCGAGAGGACAAACTATGTTCCTGTTAAGGACAGGGGCGACGGGCACAAGTAGTTCTGTTGAATGGTTTGGCCCCTATCGCTTGTTCTCGATCAATATTTCATTGAGCAGATTGCGGACGATTTACGGATGGCTTAATTAGAGATGGACTTGTTCAACGATGTTGCTGATACTCGAATTTCATTACTCTTGGTAAATCTGATGGGCCAATTTTGCTCGGCGGCCGCGTGCATATCAGCACCAAAGTTAAACCGTGAGATGTGCATGTCAGCGCTTACAGTTGCAACTGTGCTTCAGGAGGGCTCAACATTATATATTTCCCACAATGTTTTCAACGATCTGGTGGGTAGCCTGGTGTTCCAGTTTCCGCAGAATTCGTATGGCCAGACTATCGCAGGAGTAGGGCCACATACAAACACCAGACATTTTAAATCTTGGAGCCCGGTGCGGACAGATTCTTACCCTGACTAAATGTGCGCAACCATTCCGGGTTGAACATTGCCGGCTTTGGATCGTCTGGCCTCCATTCCTGTGGGTCATAAAAATACCGAAGCGCTCTGATACTTCATGAACCCCACTTCGAGTGAGGAGTCTCTGTCAACGCATCAGCAAAGAATCGTGGAGCGCATCATCGTCGATCAAGCGTTCCCCTTTTTACTGATCGTGAGCATACTAACGGTCAATCTGAGGTATATGACGCACTTACTTGCTCGAACGGGGGCCGCAACAGCTCTATCTATTCAACTGTGCCCCCTACATTGGTCTTTCTACACAATACTGCGCTTCTGAGAGAATTACGACAGAACTTTTGAGCACGAGAAGTGAGCACCGAGACATAAGCCACATCTAGCGCACTACCTGACTCGGACGGTCAGTCGGGCGTCCACTTAAATGCATTTGCAAGTAGGAATATGGCAGTCAAATGCCAAATTGTTGGAAACTCGTGCAACTCTAGCGAAGATATAGCAAGAGAAAGATACTGCGGTAGGTCACATTTCAATCGGCCGTCTACAGCACCTGTTTCTGGAATGAAGAATCTTTACCTGCGTCCAACTGGCGTAATTGCCGCCTACGATAGTCGAAGTACCTGATAGCACGCGTGTAGATGTCTCTGTCATCAAGATTACTTAGTTAGCTAACTATAGTTAGTTACCTGGCACGATATTATGCATTGACCCTTTCATCTTTCTAGCCGCCCCAACGACGGCTGCCCAAAATGCATGAGGCTTTCCTTTTTGTTCATCCACAAATCGTCGTACTGCGCCCTAGTTAAACAAATGTCCATCATTCCAGTAATCCCTCACTGTGCCAAGTTTGTAGTGTGTAGCTCACGCACCCACCTCCTCCGAGGAAAAGGAAGACCAATTCCGTGAGCGTGGCACGCAACGGGGTTACCTTCCGCAAAGTGTGGAGGCCTGATGGACACATTTGGCAGCTTGGGAGAGACAAACGTAGACTTGGAAGAGAACCGACTATGGAGCTGTATAAAAGACGGCGACTCTTGTTCTCGCAGTGGTCGACCATCCGCTGAAATGGTTTTGATTAAAGTCGCAATTATCCGTCCACTTCTGATATTCACTATGTCTACAGGATTCCTTGAATTGAGGAAGATAGCCAATAGAAGGAAGAGATGGGGCGCTCTCGGGCCACGGGATGGGACAGATGTCGTTCTTGTCGTCGACGACGTGAGGCTACCCGTCCACAGCACGGTTTAGGAACACAGTCCACCTTTTTCCGAGGAAAACCGGCGACATAGTGCTCAATGGCTGGAGCATCCCTACCATTTGGAGGACACTTGAGCTTATCTATTGCCAAGATTACACAGAGCAGCCGTGCCCAAAGACAAATATGCCAGGTGCGCCGGAATCCGCGGCGATAATGCTAGCACTGCGAGCTGACGTTGGGTTCGGAAACAGACACATACGATGATCTCGGCCGGCACGCGTCAATCTATCAGCTCGCGGAGCTTTGGGGCTTACCATATGACCTTCGGAGAGTAGCGTAGCAAAAGTACAAGGCTATCTCTCAAGACATGTGGAGAGCAGAGGATTTTGCTGCCTCTGCGGAGAAAACTTCGAGTCGGCCCCCACCACGCAAGCAAGGACGTCTTTCTCGGAACTGTGAATATGACAAGAAAAGAATGGAAAATAAAAGCTCCTTTTCTTCACCTTTATCGACAGCTTTACCGCCATGAGTCGAGGCCATGTCTCCCCGAATTATGTTCGCCCCTTGAAGGGATTCGGTCTGTTGTGTAGTCACAGCTACATATAGCTGGATGAAACCTCATAATCTGAATCCATTCTTCCCTCGTAGAGGTACAGCTGTGCTCCTCACTCTGCAAGGATGAGGGCTAACCGCAGTCCCAAGCTAGTAGGGGAAAGACTACATGCCCTGTTATGTGGAATTATTCGTTCATGGCCAGAATTAAGCACTTCCTTATAGAATTGATATATCTGACTGTAGCCTTGCTAATTTCTCGTGCTCCATGCTAAGATGAAGTGAGAAGCCTATTTTTTGCAGTCCATCGCTCGACTGGTTCCTCAAAATTAATCCGCTTGAGATGTTCTCGCCCTTGTCCTGCTCTGGCCGTGTTATGGATCTCAAACGGAGACAGCCTGTCGGTGCCCCTCCCAAGCTAAGCCATGTCCAGAACAACCGCGATATAGGCTGTACCATCTGACACGGTACAGTTCAACAACAGAGAACTCCATGGACTTCATGTGTGAGCAGCGGCAGACAGACAACCGTTTGGGGTGTCTGAAGAGTTGGCTTATGCACGGTCTACTTCGATCAACTTAGAAAGTTTCACCCGTCGTCCCATTCCTACTGCCTACGGAAACTACACCGTCTCGCCGGCCAGAAGTCGAGACAACCGATGCGTCTGTGCTTTTTACTCGTCTCCCGTGGCAATAAGTTTGAGAGTTTGAACACAACTGCTCATGGGTGCCATAGAGAGTCCATCATTAATGCCACGGGTCGCCTCAGGACAGTCTCCGCTGCGTGCTCCACGTCGATCAAGCAGACGGCTGCGCTGCTACTCACTGCACGAGACATTCGACAGCCATCCTCACAACCAAAAGCTCTCCCCATAGTAATCAGATCTTCTTTTTCTTTCCAGTCAGAATACGTTGTGCCAGATTGAAACCGTTCGATTCATTTTCTCCTTTCTTCAGCCACATTAAAAGTTCTGCCACAGCTATCTCCCTATATTCGCGATTGTTTGGGTCTCGTAGTACATATGAGTTACTCACGCCATGGGTAAATTAGAGAATGGCCCAATATCCTTGGGCCCTATCATCCCTACCTGAAGCGAGGGACGTTGGATTAATCATGGGACTCCAAAGACATGAGGCAGGTGCATTTAGAGACTGGTAAGGAACAAGGCGGCAACGGGGAAATCGAGCGAAGCGAGGCATCGTGCCGTCACACAAGTATGATTACTGAAGTTTCTTAGGAGACCGAGCCGAGCCCAGTTTGCAGGAGCGCTTCGCGCACACTTGGAAGAGAGCCGGACAATTCTAAGCGTACAGTACCATTGCCCTGTGACACCGAAACCCATTTCGTGAGAAGGTCGCTATCGTGCGGTATTCGGCGTAATGAAGATGGAACGAATGAACACTTACTCCCGAGTTGCTCTTACATTCTATCAGCCGAATTTTTCCGGGATGGACAGGAAATGATTATAAATAGTCGTATCTGTCTGGCGCAGTTCATCAATGCTCTGTATTTAACATATGAATAGTCAGAGCAGCCCTCCAGAGGTCGATTGGCAGAACAGCCACTAACAAGTCAGAGTGTCACTTACTTTCTTATGTATATTGTGTGACCGGAAGTCTAAAGATCCTGAAGAACATGTCGCTCCTGGTCCTTCCAAATGAAATGTTTCTGTCTATTGCGCAGAGCCTCGACTGTGCGCGCGACATTTCGTCCCTTGCTCGGGTCAATAAGAGGACATATTGGGTGCTGGTATCAACGCTTTACCACTTCAATATCCAGCAGCAGGAGGCTTCGGCGCTGCACTGGGCTGCAAAAAATGGAAGGCCGCTCATGGCTGTGACAATGCTCGTCGAATACCATTACGATGTAAACGCTATCTATCTCACCAACACGCCGCTTGTGGACGCCGTGATTCACGGATCGACAGCGGTTGTCGATGTTCTCCTCGCCAGGCCCCATATCGACGTCAATTTCCAGAACAAAAGAGGAGAATGTGCCTTGTGGTGGGCAGCATACCTTGGTCATACGGATATTGTTGAACTGTTACTACGGTGCGACGACATCGAAGTCGACATCGCCGATCGAGAGGATTGCCTTACTCCCCTGAGTCTGGCTGTTGTGGGGGGACATAGACGAATCGTGCAGCATCTCTTGGAGACCCACCGAGTGAATGTCAATGCATTCGACCAACACGGGCGGCCCCTCATTTTTCGTGTCATATCCGCTAAAGACCAGAAGATGATGGAAATCTTGTTCAGAGACGAAAACCTCAACGTGTCCTGTCGGGACCGTTATGGCCGCACACCTCTCCATTACAGCGTCTCAAATGGCCAGACGGAACTTACAACGGTACTCTTGGGCCACCCAGGAACCGACGTGGACGTCCGAGATAACACAGACCGAACACCACTTTGGCATGCCGTTCGACTGGGAAATGAACAAATCGTCCAAGTTCTTCTAGAAAATGGTGCCAATAGTAGTGTTCCAGACATAGAAATGATTACTCCGCTTCAGAAGTCCATCATGAAGGGAAAGCCGTCTATACTGCAGATGTTGTTGAAAAATTACCACGGTAACTATTCCGATTTCATGGTCGATGAAAATGGTGATGGCAGTGACGAGCAAGCGCTACTATGCCTGGCTGCCAGTTGGAATAGGAGCGAGATGGCGCGGCTGTTGCTCGGCCATGGATGGGACGTGAACGAGAAGGATGCAGATGAGCGAACGCCACTGCTTCTGGCAGCTGAGGCAGGATATAGTTCAGTGGTCCAGGTCCTTTTGGGCCACCCGCAAATCAATGTGCACGCACACGACTACTGGAGATTGACGGCCCTGCACGAAGCTGCTAAAAGAGGGTATTTGGAAGTGGTCGAGCTGCTTCTGGCCAAGGGGAGCATCGACATCAACGCCAAAGACAAGAATGGTGTCACCCCGCTCTGGTGGGCCACAGGAGGTCACCACTATAAAGTTGCCGCCCGACTACTGGATGAACCGGATGTGGACGTCAACGCCGTCAGCCGGATCGAGAGACCCCTCCCGGATCGATCTACATCTCTCCATCATACAGTCCAGGGACGCGACATGAGCATTATCCGCCGGCTCTTAACGAAGGAGACCCTTGATCCAAATGTCGCCGACCACCAGAAGTGGACTCCGCTCGGTTGGGCAGCGGACCAGGGCGATGTTGAGACGGTGGAGTTGCTCCTCACCCGGCCAAACATCCAGGTAAACGGGCTCGAGCACAAAGAAGCTCCGCCGCTTTGTTTAGCGGCAAGAAGGGGCCATACCCAGGTAGTTTGTCGCCTGCTCCAGTGTCCAGGCATTGACATGGACCAAGGATGGGGTGCCTACCTGCCACCGCTCCTGGCTGCCATCACCGAAGGTCATTCCAACGTAGCAATGCAGCTGCTTGCATGCGGGAAGCGGTTGAACGTCAACGTCCAAACCTACTCAAAAGAATCTGCACTGTCTCTGGCCGCGCGTCAGGGAGACCTACAGGTAGTCAGCAGTATCCTTTGTGACTGCCGCACAGACCGTAACAGTGTTGACGATCGGGGACGTACTGCGTTGTGGTGGGCAGCCCATGCGGGGAAAAGTGCCGTCGTGGAACGGTTCCTGTTGGACGACGATATACGGGTCGATATGAGGGATGACGATGGAATAGACGCCCTGAATGCAGCGAGTCAACAGTATCATTTCGATATTGTCAGACTCTTACGGACTCACCGGCCAGGGCGTCATCGGGGTATCGGTGGTTCTCGCCAGCGTATGGCTAGCAATGAATAGTGCTGCTGCCACCGGTGTTACAGGCTGGTTCATTTTTGTTGTGAATCGAGGCTCGGTTGAGTAAACAATAGAGCTTCGTATACGGAATTCATTCTGTATTAGATCAGTTGATTGGAAATCAACCTGATATTCAACGCGTATATAACCCTCATGTTTTTAGATGAGCGTAAAAATGATCAACCTCCCTCTGAATCACAACAATTTTTACGTCCTCGACTGGTAACGGAGGACTCGCTCACTTTCTCTCTTGGACTCTGGATTTCTCTCAAATAATCCCTGCATTTCGGTAATTCTATCAAGAATTCAACCAAGATGCAGGGATCATATCGTTATGGCGTGGTAATTCAACCAAGTCTTCTACCAAGTTGCAGGGATTATCCGAGGGTATCTTGAAGCCGCATAATCACATAGGCCGGCTCTGAGTAAAAGTTCTGTACGTTTGAGCAGGCATGTTGTAGAAGGGTGTTCCGCACCCTTGCGACTTTTGTTTCCCGATACCCCAGGAGATAATAAGACTATGAGAAGGCTCCACATCCACCAAGATAGTTCGGTCAAGAAAATCAATGTTGGTTGAGTGCCGGTCCATAGCTTATGTGGGAGCACGTATATGATTTGAACGTGTTGCAGCTTCATGAAAACTCCCGTTCGGGCACATTCTGCTTTTCCAAATCGCGTCTCGTTAATTCTGGAAATATGTACTTCATCTAAAAAAAGGGCGGCCTGATTCGTGAATAATGTAATTTCCCTGCGGCGGCCCCAGTTGCGCAGCAGGCCACAAGTAGATCTCATGGACCAATGAATGCCCATTTTGACAATTGAGGTGCCCTGCAGTTACCACGATAATGATCTGATCTACTTGGACTAACAATGAAACTTTTGCAGACGTGGGACCTTTTCCAAAAAGGACATCTATTCTATGCGCGGGATCAATCCAAGCAAAATTATGACAGTCATCACCTTGCTGAGATGATTGCGCTTCCGGGGCCGCCACCAAAAGATATACTTCTAAAGAGCGACTACGCTACAGAACTTTTTGATAGTGAATGTACGTTTGTCAGTATGTTTGTCTGTTTCTACTACTGACCAGAGAACACCCAGGTAATTGGAAAGGAAGAGTTCAGATTCCCTCACTGTCTTTGAAGAACTTAGAAGGGAACTTGCAAGGCACACAGCAAAGGTTATTTCTTAAATTCATGCGCAAGATGCTTCGATGGCGACCGGAAGAGAGAGAATCCGCAAGGAATCTGTTATCAGATCCATGGTTGAGGTCACTATAACTTAAAGTGGTAACGAAATATCGGACCACTTCCTGATGTTGCAAGTCCAGGACTATTGAAACTATCCAGAAGTAGACGATTTGTCCTTCAATTGAAACGTGATGACCTCTAGGATGCTTTAATATCCTTCGTTTTCTAAAGCAGCGGGCGTAGAACAACACTCCTGCGCCCCTACGGAGGTAGCGGTTGTCATTGTTGACTTTCCTTTGTTCACAGTCAAAGAAGCTGTTATGATTCGGAGGGCTGGCGGGAAGTGAACCTCTTGATACTAGAAATGTTCAAAATTCAGAAAAGCCATCTCCACAATGGTCAGTGTCTAACATTAGTGCGTGCCTTGTAGGCGCTGACCTTTCGGCAAGCCGTTAACCTGTCGTGGCATCAAATTCGTAGGTAGCTCCGTGGCAGGCTAATATTCTTTCAATTTCTGTCTTCTGTGTGTCCTGGGTTCCTGACGACAGCGCTGCGTTGCTGACAACAACGCTTAGGTCATGTAACATAGGCGGTTTTTGTGCCTACTTACTGCACCTATACAAAGTAGGTACCGGGTCATAGACGGTGATGTATTAGAGACCTAAGCTATGAGCTGTGTGCCATGGCCTCGTCCTTCTACATAAATTGCAATAATGCCCTTGGCGGACTCTAACCTGGGCTCCCTCTACTAGTACCCTTTCCTTTATACTCTGGGCATGTCTCTTCGCTTGAATATTTCTCTTCAAATTCTCGGTGGTTTCCTTCATTTACTTCAACCGCCGGAGTAGCCCCGGTGTTGAATTGTCCGTTGGCTGGTAGTCAAGTTCCACAAGACGAACCCCCGCCAGGTAGGCCTTGACTGATTGGCGCAAGTTGTCTCTGATTGTATCGGACGCAGATGCTTCTCGCAATCAGATTTAAGACGGAACCGGGGAAAAAACTTGTATAACTCACCCATTACCAGCATCCCTCCTCGTTCTTTCATGTCGTCTGCCCTAATCCTTTCTTGGTGTGCCTGGACTTCTTCGGCCAACAGAGAACTGAGAGCGGGGAGATCCGCCTGATTCTGGATTACCTCTCCCCGACTTCCGTTTTGGCCAGGTCTTGTTTTCAAAACCCCTTGGGCGTTATATATCTTCACGGCCAGCATCTACCAAGCATCAGCTGATGCGGAAACACCAAGGAAGTGTCCTAAGGGTATATCTACTTACTTTCGTATGATCTTTAATATCATTCAGAAGCAGCTTGTTAACCCACCCGAAAATGTCACCGATGAAGTGATTGCTACTTCGTCGTGTCACGTTCCAGACAAGGCAAAGACGACGAGTTTTGGACGTTCTTTTAGTCACACAGTGGAAGAGCTGATCCACGTATGGTCTGATAGCGAGTATGCCGGAATCGCTTGCTACGAGCAACACTGTCTCGTAGTGGGAAGCAGGGACACTGATCCCATGTGGGCCGCTGAAAAGCATCAGATTACGGCGAGAATTGCGCAGCGCCCGCCAAAGCAGGAGCCACGTGAATCCGAGGAGGCGATTAGGGCACTTGGCATAAAGTTGGAGCGTGGACTGTTTCTCCGTGGACCACGACGTAACAATGAAAGACGCGCTCTGAAACCATGACCAGGGATTCAAAGATGGAACCCACAGGTCAATATACTGGCCTGGCTGAACGATGACCGGTCGTCCAGGGTATATCTCAATGCGCAGGCTCCCGTCCGCACACTTCATCACATCACCATGGCTCCATGAGCCTGCAAAAGCCCAGTTGCGATGGAGCACTACGCCGGTCTTCAGCAGTGTATTCGCTCCAAAGACAGCAGCGATGGCGTAGACTAGACGCCATGCATCCGCGGAGCCGTGCGGCAAATGTAAGACGACGCCGGTGGCCACCAAGGCAGCCAAGAGGTAATGGAAGACATAAAAAATAGGATAATCGTATCGGCGGATTAATGGTAGGCATGATATTATCATGCATAGAATAGACGCGGAACCCTGTCGACTCATCTACTATTAATAAGAACACACAAAGGCACGAAAGGGTGGGGGCAGATGAAAGTGTTAACACATACTATAACGCCCCACAACAGGAAAGTTTGGCGTATTGAGCCGGGATCCTTGTTTATGTAGTTAAAAAGTATGTGGAAGCTGATGTGCGCACAGGCCATCCAGCCGCTAGCGCAGTGCAACTGACGACAAACGCGTAACCTGAGCCCTAGAAGGTCGGACAGAGAGCTCATACTGGGACTCGCATAAAGAAAACCCATATTAGCCAGTGCTAAAATACCACACCTGCCTCTCGCAGCTTCGAGTGAGCCATCCGGATACCACACGAAGAACACATTGGTCGCAACGAACAACAGGTAGAGAATGATTTCTCCCAGTGCGTACGGTCCGCCGAACCGATGACGACTGACGATGATCAAATTGACTATATACCGAGTGTTTATTCGGTTAACCTTACTTGCCCACGACTTTAGCAGTGGCAGATATCGGAGCACGAGCAGGGCTGTAATTGTACTGCCGACCCCGATGGCATACACCAGGACGAGCTGCATGATACGAGAACAAAAAGTCGCCGCAACGGTTCGGTTTTGTAAAATGAACTGCATGGTATTAAATAGCTTCATGCTGTGTATAATTTTGTGAGGGACCCCGTTCGGATCGAGGAACTCACCTTCCAGATTGCGTATCCTGCAAGACGTATTCGGTGAATAACCTGCCCAGCTCATTCTATGTTCAACGTGCAATGTGCGTTCGTACCGGCAGCGATAAGCTGAAGTTATTGTTTCCAGCACTCTGAGCGGCAAGGATTTATTGATGTCCTCGGAAATGTAACATAAGTTCTTGGCATTTTCATCGTTCAGATTTATGCTTACGTCCTCTTATAATGTCAGACACGCAGGAATATACAGACGACTTCACCCTGCTGATTCGCAGATTACGGGCCCTCACGAAAAGAAATTCAGTGGAGACTTAGGAAGTTGAAGGTTATCTTATCATGATCTCAAAAACTACGTCATTGAAGTTCCCCCAAGTTGAGTCAACTGCCCTTAAATCGGCAGCGAGGACTTCCCTTGGAGCTGTGCAGTGGCCCGTTGTGTAAAAATAAGGCTGCAGATAGTCATCGAGAATCAGTCTCTAAGGTGCTTGGGGACCGCAAAGCGACCTGCCCCACAATAGCGAAACTTTGTCGTCCCCCAATTAACATATATACCTTTCGAAAAAAGCGGGGGGTAGTGTAATGTGGTATTCAAGGGTGCACAAGAAGCACCATCTTGGAAAGACACACATCGAACACTTATTCATGGATTTAGGCATGGTACTGTAGACCGGCTGCTTTTTCACTACAGCGCGGCCATTCCTAAACAGGACTTAGAATCTGTCAACCATGTCATGTCTATTGTCCTGTTATTGCACACTTGTACAATACAGTAGTGCCACTGTCAAGTGGCGGCGGATGCAACGGGCTTCGCCATGCTGGGCCACGCCTGGAATTGCCTAGAAGCATGGACTAATGGAGCTTCACCACCGTCATTACTGTGTCACAGTCTCGGCCACAGATCTAGAAAGACATTTCCAGTTCTGCTCGCCCAGCTACCGCACTCCTGATTCCTCATAAATTTATATAGGATAGATCGACGAGAATTGTGGGGAAACTACTTGTAGAAGGTCTAGCAGCATATGGATAAACCAATAATCACTGGCTATGACAACAAACAGGAACCACTTGATATAGCTTTCTTACCAAAACACCGATCTGAGGGACGTCCGTAGTGCCATCAGACATGGAGTCTCGTTTGCTCGTATTCTTTCATACAGTATCGCGACAAGCCTTATAGCCTCTTTTGCTTCTTTTGCCTTCTGTAGCAGACTTGAGACGAGTACGCCGTAACACTCAGCAGGTAGCTCAATTGACTGGGATTCCATTTAGGTTTGCCATCCCCGACGGCCAAATACTCGTGCTAGAAGCGGTCACTATACCAAACATCGTTTGAATGGTAGGATCTGTCCCCTACCTTCAGCAATTCGCTTGCTGATGATCCTGACTCAATGGCGGCTAGAAAGTCCACAGCTTCCACACTCCGTTGACTGTCGACGACACGTATGTTACCGTCCGTGGATTGGTGGTCTTGCATCAACTGCATCATGATGTGCCCGGCTGCGTTGACGTCCCCCGTGTTCCCCGAAGTCCCGAGAGCGCTATTAGAACCCCAGTAACCGGCTACCCATTATCGATTAGCGAGTGTCCTGTCCCTTAGAGGTCAGAGGCCGCTCACCAATTTTGATCACGCCGCCAAGCCCCACAAGCGTGTTTGAACACGTCAAAGAGCCGTGGGATAGTGACTGAGAGTGAAGGTACGAAAGCGCATCGAGAATCTGCAGCAAATTAACATCTTTTTGATAAAATCTTTCAGCTGTGCAGGGGTCACCTGGCCCATAATGGAGGCCAGCTCTCCGTCACTCGGGATCTCCCCGCAGGCCACCACATGGTCCAGAGAAAATAGCAAGCACTCAGACACGACGAAGAGATTTTCTTTCGCGCTCTCCATTCGAAAAGCTTCATAACAAGCAACAAGGTTAGGGTGAGCCAAAGTTGTACATCGCTTGAGGACCAGTTCTGAACCCTCCTGTGGAAAAGTTCGAACAGCGAACACGCCTTTTGTGCCGTCCCGGCGTTTCGTCATCCAATGCCACATGTCCAACTTAACCTCCATTCCTCTCTCATAGAAATCCCAAGGGCTCTGGTATCGAACAATAGGCCTATTTACGGAAGAAGGCACGATGTAGTCCTGCGAAAACCGCCTTTTTCTCGGACGAGTGACAGCTGGTGCTGGGATCATAGGTCCATCGTTGGGACTTGTGCCCAACGAGGACGCCCTTTCTAGGGGGCGCTCAATCACAAATTGAGTGATCCTTTTAGAGTCGGAGGGCTCCATCACGAAAACGATAATCCGAAGAGAAGGTGGGAAGAGCAGAGTCATAGATATAAGCACTGGTAACCCGTCATCTGGTATGAGACCGCTGAAAAATGAGGGCCCACCCTAGCATGGGCCCGTGTATTTCGGTCCTACTTTCCTTATTTACGCGTCGAAGATGTGCACCGTCGCAAGTCAGCTACATAAACGAAGCGTTCCCAAGAATCTCTCGTTGAAGGGAAGCGCTACAGGAAGATACAGTATATGACACTCATATGTCGAGACATAACAGATTCGACCTGAATGGCAGCGATCTTGCGAAAGAAAGACATCATGCCTTTCTGGGTTCGGCGAAAGTCCAGCTACGACATATTGATGTCGGTTCCAAGGCCAGACTGGACCGAGCCAAAGTGAGGCAACTACGCCGAGTCTTTCGAGTGTACGGCATTTACCCACTACAGCGGGAAAACCACGTAGAGGTTGTCATCTCCCACTCAGATCTCGGGCAGGTGCTTGACCAACACGGCCTGACACTCCAGGAATTCCGTGAAAAAGCTCCCGACTCGTACCCTACGCTGGATTTTACCGGGAGACCGCTAAAGTGTCTTCATGGCAAGCATCGGATTCAAGCCGCTCGTGAGGTTCTGCCATCATTCCGGCGATGGTGGATAGTGGATTTCTACCTGGAAGGTGACTGCAAACCTCATAGGTGTATCCCCCAAGCTTACAACTGTAGGCCTGTCAAACGAATTGAGCACCATTCAGTCCGAAGCCTTCGCGCACGAGAACCCGAAGACTAAAGGAGAGATATATCTGAAAATGCGTCACTACCAGCGAATCAATGATCAAGTGTCCGCACGTCGATGGAAGGCCCGGCTTAGCCCCAGTGACGTGCGGTGTCTCCTTATGCTTCAGAAACACCCTCGAGTACAAAGGGCCTTTGATCAGTTTCTGTCCATCCCAGCACTCTTGCATAACGATGCTTTACTCAGTGTGTGGAACAAAATTTTAGCTTGTAACTGTGACAACGTTCTGGGTCATTTCCCGAACTGCACGACGGAGTACTAATTTAAGCAGGAAATCATCCATTACATGCAGCGAGGCCTCTGGGACTTTTGGGCAACAACAGTCGCACAAAATGATAATAGGAAAATGAAGCTGATCGACGCAAAGACCGTAAAGCTCTTGGAAGGCCTCGCTCCGGGCGTAAGCGCGGCAGACAGTACAACGGTTAGTGGCCTTGTGCTGAGCGGGGCAGTTTTGGCAGATTTCTCTAGAGATGAACGCGAGGCGATCAACAACCGCCTGCTAAGTTACAAGGGGCGAATTCCTTCATTCGGCCTCTTCTTCCAGGATGTGTTGTTTCTTGGACTCGGTGCGAATCGAATGAAAAAATTAATTGACAAATCTAAATGGTGGGGCCCTGACGATACCGAGATGGGCCACGACCGAGAGCGGAAACTCACGCTTCGAGAGAGGATGGAGTATATGTTTCGACACCGCGACACGGGTAGCATCATGATTCAAACACCAGACGGGGAAGAGCGTGAAGTCAGTGGCGATGAAGAATTGCTGTTTGACCTAGCTTACCGACAGCTGTGGCTGTGCGCTTTGCGAAGTTGTAGCGGCAGCCCAGGGGAGGGCCATAAACCAGCAACTGTCCGCCGCTCGTGGACTCATCCGCACGAGCGATACAAGCTAGCTCAGCTTGCCATGGCCCTGGGCTTTACATCTAACAGTATAAGTCAACTTACGAGCCGTCCTTTTGAGCCGGAATATCCCCCCTGGTACGAATTTGATGACCGCCATAGAACCATTGAGCTCAAGCGTTGCGGCATTCCCTACACAATCACATTTCGAGAAGACAGGAAATCGCTCTTCCTGGACCGGATTCATCAGGCAACATCGGATTGTGACGAGCTGGACTCGGCGTTCATTCTCCGTGATATATATATCTCATTTTTCGGCGATTTGCCATCCTCTGTGTTGGGAAGTCGTCAAAGACCTAGAAGGGATGGTGGTCGTGGTCAAACCTCTGGAGCCTGGTCATCGCCCACGTCCAGAGCACAAAATCGACCTTCGTCTGGAGCGGCTTCATCTTCTACGACAATGCCTCCATCCACAACGATGCCTGTACCGACGCCCCAGCGAGAAACCGGGCACCCGGCGACACCAGCCGTGGGCATGAATCCGCAGGCTAATTCAGGAACAGAGCAGAGCGCACCCGGCCCATCAATGCATAGAGCGGAAGTCGAACAGCCAGGATCCCGTCCAACAATGCCGTCGGAGACTACGGAAGCAACAACCATGCCCCCCACCGAGCCTCCTATGACGCCCGAAGAAACTCGGGATTGGCGTTCGGAGTTAGAGGCCTTGACGGAGAATTTGTGCAAATTGCGAGATGATATTGATGACCTTGGTCCTCGGTTTGACGATCCACAATTCACCGATCAGCAAAGTGCTATGACTGAGTTGCATAAGCTGGATGCTGTTATCGTTGAACCTACGGACATCGATATGCGTGGGAAGTTGGGAGCAATCGGGGCAGAAGTCACCAAACGATGCTCGGATATACAAAGCGCAAAATCGCACATCCACGTAGTTAATGTCAAAGTACAAAGTGAAATCCAAAAATTGTCGGCATTCACTCGGAATGGAGAAGGGAGATCCGAGGGTAGAGCGCAGGCTGTACAGACTCTTGCGGGTGCTCGAGCTGTTTTCGATTCTTCGAAAACAGAATACCAGAAGGTGGACACGTTTCTGACCAATGTCACGTCCCATATACAGCCCCTACAGCAACAGATTGGGGGCTTTAAAGTCTACCTTCTGGGGAACTGTCTGATTGACCTTCATCATAAGTTCGAAAATTGCTCCTCAGATATTGATACCATCAAGCAATCAGTGGCGAATCTAAACACGAAACTCGGTCCTTCTGCCAGGCCAGCCTCACTTGAAACAGAAATCAAATTATTGAATGACATTAGAGATGCTGCAAGCACTAGGGTCAATGCAATATGGCAAGAACTAGAAACTGTCCATGGGGCGTTCCAAGAGGCTGGCGGAAAGCCTCCCTCACTTAGTCCACGAGAGTGCGAAAGTCTGCAACAAACTTCAGCAACAAGACTTGAGATGCTTAAAGGGGAAGCAGAAAACGCACTTACGACATCGAAAAAGCAGATCCAAGACGTTAGAGGAAGACTACAGGCGGACTATGCGACGGTTATGCTCCGCGGAAAGGATGAAATCCAATCTCAGTTGGACTCTGAGAAGATTGCCCTCGAAAAGATGAAATCAAACTACGAAAAAGTTCATAGTTCTGTTGAGGAAATTCGCACCGCCCTTCAAGAAGACCGGGAAAGCCTCGAAGAGATTATTGAAGACAGTATTCTGCAGACAATGGGTGATCTTATGGCCATCGATCATCTAGACGGTGTCGCCCTTTCAATGCAAAAAATGCAGGAAGCACATAGCAACAGTGTGGATCGAGTGCAGAACAGAAGTTTATCCCTGGAAATTACCCTGGACACTCAAGCGGACATCTGGGATGATTACTTGAATATTAGGAAAGATATTGCCCAGCGGAACGTGGAGCAGGGGAATCTGCTTGGATGTATACAAAGGCAACGAGAAAGTGTGCACGAGTTTTCCGTGCTAACGACTGAGACCTTGCAATCAAAAATTTCCCCTTTGTTGGAAAAAGTCGAGTCGAAGGCTTCAGAGACAAGACATCAACTGGAAGTAGTGAGGGCAGCTGAGAGCTTGACCGCAGCCAAGCAAGCCATAGAATCGGCGAAGAAAGCGGCAGACGAATCCATGCGTTGGGCTAAACAACTGCAGGCTGTTGCTGAGCTGGCAAAAAAAGGGCCACATGATCTCCGCGAACACTCACAAAAAGGAGCAGACGACGCAACGACCTCAGCAGAGGAAGCCGAATCTGCAGCTAAAGCCGGGCAGCTATTCGTGAATGTTTGGGAGAATGCGGACCAGAAGATGAAAAGTTTCCTACAGAGAGCCAACAAGTTGAAAGACTTATCAACCAAACAGTGTGAACCAGTTCTGTCCCAGTGGACGCCTACCCAACCTCACGATGTTGCAAAGGAGGCCCTTCATAGAGTGTCAAACCTGGCACATAAAACATGTAGCCTTCGCAAAGAAATGGGGAATGAAATTCTTTCCATACTCGACAGGGTCTGCGACAGTGATCAGCCACGGCTAGCGGAGATAGTGAATCTTCGTGTGCCTGAAGTTGAAGAAGAAACAAGAAAGACTCTGACCGCTGCGTTCGATCTTTTCTACTGTGTAGCACAAAAGACAAGTGATTACACGAAAGCAAAAAAGATGGCATTCGGGAATTTTTCTACCTTGGCCGACAAATCAATCGAAAGCAACGACATAGATTTATGGTTGATCGTTGTCCGTGATGCTCGGGAAGCAAAGGAATATTTAGACAAAACTGTCGACTTGGCGGAAAGGGGAATGAATGAAGCTGATCGATTGAAGAAATCTACGGTCGATCAGGAGGGTTCCAAAGGGGCAATACCTGAACTGGCTCTCCAGCAGGTTGAGAAAACGAGGGAATGCCTGCAATTCGGGAAAGAAAATCAAACCAAGGCTCACCAGATGCTCCAAGACATTGAGATCAGTTGGTCGAGAGCTTTGGCTTCTAAAAAAAAGGAAACAGCACAAGAAGTGTATGACCGCGCTTGCGACGCTGTCGGCAAAATCCAACCGCATCATTCCCTCAACGATGCTGAAATAACCCGGAATGCTTTCAAGACCATGGAAGACCTCTTTAAAGTCACTGAGCAGGATTTTGAGAAATGTTGTGGGCCTAACGAGAGATTCGAAGAGATTACTGAGCAGTTTGCGAACGTGACGAATAGAGCAAAGTCGGTCATCAAGGGTGCGGAAGCAGTGCGTAGTCGCGTAGAAAGCGGCCAATTCAACACGGCCCAGGGAAACCGCTCTGACGCGGAGGTGACTGACCTGCAAACAAAGCGGACTCCTACCTCTGAACAGGATCCAGTGGGCGACCCGTCTACATTAAAAAACAAATCGAGGGGAAAAAGGAGCCGAGTCGGGGAACCCCCTCGACGCATGACCCGCACCCAACGGAAGCACCAATACGTGTTCATTATCAAAACTATTGATGGAAAGCCCACCGCAACGTGGGAKAGAGAACTTCATTATACTGAGGCAGGGAGAGCACTCCAAAAGGGTCGAGAACTCTGCGCGCGTGGCAGACTCTGCGCACTAAATGGAGAATTGACGAAGCTTGGCTTCCTGAACCCTTCAGGATTCGAGACCAATATTGTCGACGGCGGAAAAGTCTTCTTCCTTGGGGCGGAGGTCGAATTTGAGGGAGTCGACTTTGACTTACTGCTTAAAAAGGCCCAAGAGTGCTATGAAAGCTGCCCCTAGCGTAAAAGGCGGCTGACCGATCCCAGGTCAGCGATTCTGACGAATGGCTGATTCCCAGGAACTGCTGTCCGAGGAATGTAAATCCCAGGAAAGCCTAATCTGGGAACTTAGAAATCCTCGTTTGATCATTTCTGGGAACCATCTGTTCACCGAATAGCGGTTTATCTGGGTGCATGGTTGTGCCAGCCTGTATGAACCGAGCACATTTTTGTTCCGGGGAAACATTGTCATGGGATAGGAGCAGTCTCCGGTTCAGTAGTCTCTAGAATTACTAATTCTGAGGACATCGTCTATCCTAGAACAAGGGATCCCAGGATTATGCCTTGCAATGCGCAATCGAGCATTCAAGCTGAACGGTGAGGATAATTACTTACCGGCGAGAAGTGTAATCTTCCGCATGCTTTGGTGGATGTTCAGCGAATAGAAAGTTCAACTCGGACATATTGTTTATCATTGTACAGGTTCAGCCATCCTGCCAGATTTGTACCGTCTCTGATGTCATTTGCAGCTGCTAGGGTATTTACTTATCTCCTTCCAATAACTTGTAGTATAATGGATGGCGCCGATCAAGGGAATGTTCACGGCGATCTGTGTATATCACCGCAAACGAGACTAGATACTCTCAGCAATACTACTATGCGCTGGCTACGAGGTGTTTGCGCGTATCTACGACGAAGGTATATCTTATATGGCTTCGAGTCTCCCACAGACATCGCTTACAGCAAGGGCAGGCGTGTCGGGAAGGCGGAACTAGAAGTGGATTCGAATGGCACGCAATTTCAAGCGAAACCCACACGGTGTGCATATACTGCAAATCGACCTCTCCGCTGTGTACAATGTTCCAGAACCCGCTCACGTCATTACCACCGATGTCATGCCTCTGACCCCTGGAGTTACCCAGCCGCGGGTGTTTGTCGGATTTGCCAGCGCCCTAAGCAAGTCCAAAGGAGACCGAGAACGCCTTTGCTCTTTGAGCTGCCGACAGGAGAATGCTGAATACCGATAGTGTCCTGATTTGAGGACTTTTTTGCCTGTTTCGCAGATACTTTAGAACGCCATGTCAATATCAGGGTTTGGCCAAGGAAGTCCATAGGCCGCTGAACCGTGCGGATCGGTAATCGAGATGCTTAATGGCACGATTAGTTGGCCGTCAAATACGTTGTAGTGAACTATCTGCTGGGCGTATTCTTGCAAGGCTGCGCTCTAGATTTGACCCCGACGAGAATTCTCGGGCCATTTAGTAACCTTCCGCCCCACACAAAGACGGACACTGGAGGCTCACGCTACGGTTAAACATGGAGGACCTCCAAGTTCCAATTACAGGTCTACCAATGACCCTGCCGGACGAGTTTCTGCACCCCTATTTTCGATGCCTGGTGCGTCTTGCACTACGCTTCTCAGCTTCACCCACTGGTAACAATGCCGACGGTCGAACCTCAGCGGCATTGTCGAACAGGATGAACCCATTTGCTCATCGACTCAAATTGATCAGCAAGCAAGAGTCAGCTCTTAGTCCAGATAAATGAGAGCCTGCAATAGCCTCTCAGTCACCGTTCTATGTCTTTATGGGACATCGCCTATGTTCATCAAGGAAGATTTCCTTTCCAGGAATTGCCCTTATTACCGGTCTCTTGATTTCGTGGCCTTTCCCTCTGCCAAAAAAAAAAAAAAAAAAAAAAAAAAAAAAAAAATACAACCATCTTACAACTTCGAATCACAAGGATCTCTGGATAACTATCCCCCTTCGTTATAGCTCGCGTAAAGAAATAACTAAGGCCTTTAATTTCCGGACGCGGCAGGGCGAGAAGTCAGAATAACTGTCAATATGTGCCCAATGTCGTTCTCATGAATGAAAGAGTTGGGCACTCCCTTCACGCCGATGTGTCTGGTCTCACTCACTTATTATTCCAGTTCGTTGGGATGACTAATGTTCATCAGCGACTCGTAGAAGTATATATAGGTGACGAGGGTGCTCCAAGGTGGGTTATTGTTATACTAACATCAATCGTCTGAAGCGGAACTTGGAGGCAGAAGCATGGGCAGATTTAGAAGGATTCTGTGTATTTCTGTTCCGTATGCCTGCTCAACTGCAAGTTTGATCTGCCTGGCATTCGTTGGGATTGGCTGCACCAGTACCTCAAAACCTCAAAACGAGCTATTCTTCATGAAGGTCTTCTCACCAAGCCTGGAAAATCGCCGCTGTCTACTGACTGTCATACTTCAGGCTAACCTGACGGATTTCGGCTCTATTATCGAAAAGGACTTGGGAGGGCTCTTTTCCAGACGCTCGCTCATCGATGATCCCTTGAGCTCGGTGTCTGAGTCTGTCGCAGATATAAGCACGCAAGCTGGCAAGGTTGGCGCTGTCGCGCAAGACGTTGCAAGCTCTGCCGGCTCCAATGTACCGCAGACGGTAGGCACCATTGTCGATGATGCCGGTGCCCTAACGAAGAACATTTCGGAAAGCATTGCTAAAGTCGTATCAGGCATCCCAGAGTTCTATACGATTGGGCTCTGGGGTTATTGTAAGGGTACTTCTAATGGAACAGGCTCGACTGTCGCAAACTGTACAACGCCGAGTTCTTCGTTTTGGTTCAACTTCACCGAAGTTCTGGGCTTGGAATCGCTGCAAACTTCCTTAGTCGGAAAGATATTTCCGAGCCAATACGAGGGTGTCATGAAGGTGTACAGGACAGCTTCGAAGGGAATAATCGCTTTCTATATCATGGCGGTTATCGCCAGCGTGTTAACTACGGTCCTTGGGCTGACGGCTACGCTGTCCCGATGGGGAAGCTCCTTTACTAGTATCTTTGCAATAGTAGGTTTTATGACTCACTTGAGACGTTTCGGGTATTAAGGCTCTCTAGGCATCTGCCGCTTTTAATCTGGCTGGGTCGGCATTAGCAACAGGCGTTTACGCGTCCCTCGTGGGCATTCTTAAGGCCGTGTTCAGCCTTCAGGGGAGTGGTGCTAGCCTAGGCAGACCTATGCTCACGGCTAGCTGGTTATCGACCGCGTTTTCGTTAATCGCTTGTCCATTTTGGCTCCTGAGCAGCTGTTGTTGTTCTGGGAGTTAATGGTGAGTCGGCTTCAATCATATGCGACTATTATCGTCAGTGATTCACTCCACAGTACCCACAACTCAGAGTAAGAAGGCCATTTGAAGGCCATTCCCTCGTTGCAGGCTATACAAGGTGTCCCAGTAATATAGTGCCTACCTTCCACATATGATTCTAAAATCGGCTTCCAGCAGTCCATGACTTAAGACCGGCCATATAGGTCAGAAGCAAGGGTCTCCAGCAAGTAGGTGGCTAGTCCGCCAGACCGAATGCGCAGAGGGTCCTCCAGGAAATAATCATGAGAGTCAGCGATGGAATTTGATCGAACCCCACAGGCCTCAGCTCTGTTATGAGTGCTACTGAAATTTGCAATCTGCGCAACTAAGTCATCTTTCTCCAGTGCCGATGTCCATGCCGCTCTTTAATAGCAAGTCGTAGTGTTATATTGTAATATTCCTGTTGCATTGTCTCTCAGCAAAGGGCAAGGCGGATGTTGGAGTTGTATCCAGTCAGTCTAGGAATATAGTCCATAGAATAGCAACCGTGCTTGACGATGCCGTTTCCCAAAGTATTTAATCTCCCATGATCCCCAGCGGTACGGACACACTCTTCGAATCCGAATCGACGTATTTCACGCCTACATCCAATAGCAGGCTTCCCAACCTATGCTGTCTTCCCGGATGCCAATGCCGGTAACGTCCCGCAGTTAGGTCAACTAGGGGAGTTATACTGATAGCTCCACAGAGAATCCTATGTGATTGACACTGCACCAGTCACGAGTCATATAATGTACAGTTTGCTCTGATTCACCCGGAGAGGAAGAAGAAAAATCAGTGACATATTATAGAATGAAGACTTATAGTCGTCTCAGCAATGGCTGTCTCTCAGCTTCCAAATACGCTTTCCCTGTGGTAGAGATGACGACAACGAAAGAGCTTGTCCAACAGCGAAAATCATATAATCAACAGCCACAAAGCCATTCATATGGTAGCACGCATTAAGAACCCAAATGACATAATCTTATGCAACAGAAAGACCCGGGGGACCACCAAAAGCGCAAAATCGCACTTTGAGTCTAGAGCCAGTGTTACTTTCAGTTGGTTGGGGCTTTAGAGTTTGGCTAACGTTCATATGACAAGGGTTATGTTGGTCAGTGCCGGGAGAGTATCAAGAATGACGACCTTGGAACATGATGAGGCCGTCACGCTCTGATACATTGCAGTTGGGATGTCTTGAGGCGCAGAAAATGTCCGACACAGCATACGCAGGGACATGATGAGATAACTGATACAGTGGTTTGGAATTGCGTCGCGCCAAGTGAGAAGGCTTTTTCAGCAGGTCTTGAATGTTAAGTTCACTTATCGATCAAAACTGAAAATACCTTGACACTGACAATCCAAGAAACGACGGCGATGTTGAAGCAAGATACTCGAGTTGACGCGGTTACTAAGCGCGTCTGTTCAAGTGCGCAGCCAAGCCTGTGCTAGTCATCCCTTTAAAGAAAAAATAGGTGAACTTTTGTTGATGTTTTGTTTGAGCAGTGATCAACTGCTCAGCTGCCAATGACTTGGACCCACAGACAAATATCCGGGGGCTGAGAGGGCAATTGATGTCATCCCGACTCGGCACATCTGATCATAGAAAATGATAAATCAAGGCAATCTCTATGGTGCCTTTATAAAGCTCACATTTTCTCTGTAGATTTTCGAATCAGTCAAGGTCAATCATGGCGAACTTCGGGCTAGCAGACAAGGTTGCGCATCTCATCGTCCAACCCGCGGACCAAAGAGAGAACCCCCCTGAGAGTTACCTGTTTGTCCAAGATGGACTCATCATTAGCTGCGGCGTACTATATGCACTCTGCTACATATTCTGCATGATACGAACCTATGCCGATAAGACATACCCGGGCGCTCGCTGGGGAAGCATCCAATTTCTGTATGTCCATTGTTACGCATTGGGATACAATAATTGACACATGACAGCTGCTTGACAATGGCGTATGAGCTCTTCTACGCCTTCACAACTACATCTACTCTCTTTGAGAAGTTGGTGTTCCTGGCCTGGTTTGAGCTCGATCTGAGTTTTGTTATTGTTGCACTTCATGTGGCTCATAGCCTGGGTGAGCAGCAGGTCCTCCTTCGGAATATGAGCCTGGGTTGCTTGACGGGAATAGCATTTCTCTGGATGTTAACTCAGAATTATCCTGATGAACGACAGCAAATCACTGCGTATTGGACCGGGATCATCCTGCAGCTTCCCATCGGATGGATATGCCTGCATCAGTTGTGGAAGAACCATAGCACACAGGGGCATTCTCTAGAAATATGGTATGCGCACTGTACAAGGCCAAAAGATCACCGCTGACGATATAGGTTTACGCGGTACTTAGGCTGCTTTACGGCCTATGGGGTCTTCCTCTGGCGGTACTTTAATATCCCCCAGAACTGGGGGTATGTCTGGACACCCTGGAGCATTGGGATTATTGCTACGACTCTCATTCCAGAGACTATGTATCCATTTGTTTATGTCTGGGTTCACAAGACGCAAAAAGATAAGAAGACATAGATTATTTTACCTGACTAATCAGCTGGATTCGTACCATACTGGCCAGCTAGAAACCTCCTTTCGCTTTGGTAAGACAATTTTATCTCCAAAACCCTAAATGCCAAGACGCTGATATGCAAGAGTTATTTATATATACAGACCATTAATATCAACCGTTTAATATATGCTGTATCATGGTGGTAAGGCTGTGATATCGCCACCAAGTCCATCTTTGCTTTAGTATGAGTAAGATATTTAGGCTACGTGTATTAAAGTATATGAGAACTCCTTTACAAGGCCCTGAAGTACTATTCCAGTCTCTTAATGTCGAGAAAGGCATATTACCAAAACTACAGATGTAATTTATGTTACCTGCATATTCACATATATTAAGAGGCCGTAGCTTATAAGGATAACGCTGTATGGCTATATTAATACGTCTAACTAAACTTAGGCCTTGTAGATGTTTGGTTGTTGAGATATCATACCTTGATATCTGCCATTCACTTAGAATACGGAGGTATCTGACTCGGTTGGGAATTACGTTTGAAATTATGGATGAATATAGTTCCGTAAGCTCTTTGGCTACAGTACTGAGTTTTGACTTTGTCGACCACCTTCGGAAATTGTCCTACCTGCCATGTTCCTCACCCTCTTTATGCTACACCATCATCTTGCCATAGCCCTCCATCACTTGCGCTTCAACATGGCCAATTCTTCTGTGATCGGACTTTGTTTCAGCACTGCTACGAGTCTTGCATCAGAACGTTGATCGATTGTTGAACTATTTGTCTCATCATCGACCGCTCCATCGCTTTCACTTGGGTGGAGATCTTAGTTGGCTTGGGGAAACAAGTGTACAATTAGTTATCAAGAAAGGATGGTCAAGAACGTTGACTGATGATCAAATCTAGAGTTGTTGACCGTTTGCTGATCAACGCCATCTGGGAGACCAGGTGGGCCTGTTTCAAGCCACCGCGGTCCTCGCAGCCACGGAAGTGAACTCAAAGTACCGCGCTGGCTGGTGTAAGTCACGTTACTCAGCTGGTGGGCCTCTTTATTGGAAATGAGGGTTGAGCCAGTTAAGCGCCCACAGCCGACGCTCTAAGATGTGAGTGCTGTCAAGATGCTTAGATTTCTCAAATTTTATCGTTTCTTGAAGCGATGATCTGCACTTTTTGCCCAGACTCAAAGAAAATACTTGAAGCATGCGACCGCTGATCGTGAAATATTCCAAGGCATTGAGGGCAACAGTTTTCCAGCGGGCGGTACCTCCGAATTGGTCATCCATCCAATCGTCGTCAACGCTTTTGAGGGCATTGCTGCTGGTTGTCGTCGTTCGCTAAATAGTATACGACATGTATTTGACTAGCATTTTACTGCCACCTCTCGCATTAACAAGTGTGCGAAGCGACCTTGAATGACATGGAGAATCACCGCTTAGGACACTGTACTGGGCAAAGCGTAGGAAATTTGGCAAGGGATAATACTAAAAAGATGCTGAGAGAGGTAAAAGACGGCCGCTGGTTGATTGCCGCCCCCTATATTTTGAACATCCAGTAGTGACCACAGCTGTTCAACAGCGAAAGAACCAATGAGGGTTGGCTGCAGAACCCGAAATAACCATTACAGAAAGGAAGGTGGTCTGGGTTGGAGACATTTTTAGTCATTTCACAGTCGAGGCTGAACCTCAGGTATAAGACAAACATCGCAAGCCCTTGACGAAAAGATTTTAAGGTAAGATGACTAGGTCTTCCTTGACATATGACTACAGTACAGTACCATGAGTCAACTGTCAGGAAATTTGAGTCCTGGTTGTCTCCAATCAGACGCTGGAAGAACGATTGGTTTTGATTTACAGCCGCTGCCGGATGGTCTCGAGCCACCTACTTCAATCGAGCCAGCCGTGACCGCAATCAGTGTCTACTTGGACAAATATCTGTGGGTGCTAACCCGTAACGGGAGCATCTCCTTCAACCGCGGCGAAAGTCCATTTAGCACGCAGCTTTGCGAACGGTTAAGCAGACTTTTTACGATCCCAAAACCACATGTGCTTGAAGGCCCTGTCATCAGTTGGGTGCAGGTTGTCGTTTTCGCAGGACCCTCACCTCAACACTTGAACCAAAGTGAGCCTTTGAGAGTTGGGGATTGTACGATTCAACTCTCGGAAGAGGATCGCGAATCTCTTGTCTCTGGAAGGCCATGGCGATTTCTCGACCCTTGGCCAGATGAGCGGGATTGCCAGAGAGAATTGGCACTAGTTAACGAAGATCTGAAAGGCCTCCGCAGAGTGAAAGATATTCTTTCGAAAGGTCAGTAGTCTGATTGTTTTGTGTGCTGTGCTAATACGATATCTACGGATGCAGCCGTCGAATCACTCGATCATGTGGAGCGGGAGCTCTCATTTCGTGGAGATCTCCTCTCTCAAACTCCGAATGCACAACCCCAGCCGAGCGCTTTTGAATCTCGTACTTCATCTGATATCAGCGGTATGACTGAGGCTGCTCTAAGTTGGCTCAAAATTTGATCTTAACCAACCGCTATAGCTATTGAGCACATCGCAGCAAGAAGGGTAGAGCCATCCGTAAGGAAAGACGCTTCAGCAGACGAATCGATTGGTCAAGAATACAATGTGGAAGCAGCCACAGGTTCCCTCAATAATCCGCCACACGAACCTCGGAATTCCTCGAAACCCAATGGATCTGGACATTTGAATTTGGCAGCGGAAGAAGATGACATTGGTGTGTCCCAGCTGTCAGCATGCGAAGTCAGCGATTGCGACTGTTTCGAATCTCAGGCGACTAAAGACCTAGCCCAGCATGATTCACGAGACAAATTGCTAAGTACACCGACGCCCATTTCCCCGTTCATTCAGAAACTGGTTGAGTAAGGCAGCGTCAGATCCTTCTGTAGTTCTTGTACTTATACTAGCAGTGCTCTGGAAAACCCCCAAAACTCAGGACTAATCGGCTGGTCTGACGACGGACGCTCATTCATCATCCATAATTGGAAAGTCTTCGTGAAGAAGGTACTGCCAACTATCTGCCCAGGCAAAACATATCGAAACTTCCTTTGTCTTCTCTGGCAATATGATTTTCACCTCAAGCACCCCTCGCCAAACATGAATTGGAGTAGCACAGACGTGAGAGAATACTTTAACGGCCACTTTCAACGCGGCGACAAAGTGAGCCTACCACTCATCCGGGCCCAATGGAAGAAAAGTCCTGCCCCTCATACGCGGACACGGGACTCAGCTACTCCATCACCTTCGACGAAAGCTGCAATCTCACATGCTGCAGGCAACCGAAGAGACAATCCCCAGGACGGCCTAACTGCTAAGAGAACCGGAAGTCCCCGCGTCAAGAAACGGAGGATTGCAGATTAGTACATGCTCTTTCCATGGCATCTTCTGTCGAAGATACCGCCCATGGTCTTGCTGTATCGGTTGTTCATTATCCTTCCATTCAGTGATCTGTCTTACTCCTTGCTCATTTTTAGGTCCCCTTACGTGTATGAGCTCTGTTTCTCCGCAGCGATTGAGGACTCGTTCTTCGGGCCCGAGCTTCTATGCGGTGAATATATTCTTCTGAAACTTTTTTTGGTGTTGTGTTCCGCTGAGGAACCGGCTCGCCATTGGAAGTAGTCATCGATGAAAGCAGATATTATAGTCCTCACGTGGTGGTCTCCTGGTGGCCGACCAGGTTGGAATGAAGAACCTAACCAGGATTGGGGACAGAGGCAATCCTTGAGCGAGGCCTGCATCTTCTAGCAGCATGCCAGGGATTGGTTTTCATATTATGAGTCTACCAAGATGTTACATGTCTATGTCAAAAAGTAAATCACTCATTTTCACTCCTTCAATTTTTTTCTTTAGCATGGGTGTGGCCGCACTGCAGAGCAACTGAGAAATGCGTCCGCACTACTGCTACGGCAATGTATTATGCAAGAAATATAAGGGTAGATATGTAGCTGTAGTATCCTGCATATAACTTTGTCGCGACAAACCAGGTACACTACAGTACTTATCATAAGGCCTTCGTCTTCTGATTTAGAAAGCATGATGTTAGCTGTCTTCCTCATCAAACTGAAAGAAGTCGCTACCGCTGTTTGAATGCGACACACATCTCTAGCCTACGATGTTATTTCCATTAGCTGAATACAGGTAGACAGGCAAAAGAAGGGTCCCTTGCTTAGCGCCTTACTTTACGCATGCCGGACGAGTTGGTTGTAATTGGCCACGGTTGACTGTAGCCGACCCAATACCCATTCAGCAGTTACTACAATGTATCGAAGGTCAGGAAGGTTTTCAAGAGGGCGAAGAGTGCCTGGCTTTCTGTAGTAGAACGCAAACTACAACTCGGTCCCAATACCCTCATGAGTTGATCATCGCTTAAGAATCCAGTACCAACGTGCTGAACCTTCATTAGGTAGTAGGGCCGCGAGACACTTGCTGAGTGTAGCTACAGTGGGTCCTATACTGCTAGGCGGCCGTCAGAAAGGCGACTCTGCGAATGAACAGTTCATGATTCATTGCGACGAGCAAGAGAACGCCAACTTGTGGGTCAATCATGATGAAGACACAGGCCTTCGTGGTTTAACATGAGTAAGATGGTCTACCTCTGATGAAGTCAGCGCACTTCTCCTCGCTCGAAGACTGGTTCCCGGGCCCACTTAGCGCTCACTCACCGTGACGGCCACTCTTGAACCAACGAATATGTTCAACCTGTCGAGCCGATTCAAATGGTTCAAGCGCGATAAATGGAGCCAAATGAGTCATCCGCGGTGAGGGTTCAAATATTTCTTGTCGTTTTCCAGTAAACAACCTGCAGATAACGCCATTGTAGCTTACACTATCTCAACCAGTACATGTTGGACTCCACGAAATGGGGCTCCCTCAAATCAGCTGCGTGGTTCAACTGCGACAAGTAACCAAATGTAAGGCCCCTGGTTCTACGTACTGGCCTTCAACAACGCTCGTTCAACAATATAGAGCACCTGATAAAGTTCGGTGTGGTCTACAGTACACCAGCCAGCACTCGCCAGCCCTCTGAACTTTTGACAGCTCAAATGAGTCAAACTCATATTGCATTATCAGACACCAGCGACATCATTCTACGAAGTGCAAGTCTGCATCCTTGCTCTGGACAAAAACTGCGTGCTTTGAATTTCGAGTCCTCATACGGGTTCGCAGTTGGCCGAATTAGCACCAGGCTCTTGGATAATAGATGATCACCCAAAAATGGCGACTTTGTTCAACTGAGTACCCTATACCTAACCAGATTTTTAGGTGTTATTGCTATGTTTGCTGCTCTGTTAGCATCAATGGTTATGCCTATAACTGATTTATCCAGATCAACCCTTTTACCTTTCTTTTTTCCCTTTCCCTTCTGAATGGAAGATTGGCACACTTCAGCTCTTCGTTCTGGGATCGATTGCCAGCCCCACTTAGTATTTTCTGAATATTGGCGATTGCTCCAAGAGCTGACGGCCACGTTCAACCGGCTGAACTACATCATGTGATGCACGTTAGCAGCGTGATTCAACCCTTTTGAAGCCCTGAGTAACATTTTTTCCCCTGATCATCAGCAACGTTGCTCATTCATTGGGAGACAATTGAAACGTTCCCTGACAAACTCTCGTAGAGAACCTGTGCTAGATCGACTCGTCCCAAGATAGAGGACTGGGGCTTTTGCTCAAACTGTACTGGGCCATGCATGCCTTTTGCTATGGACTTGTTGGTTTCCTTTTTGCCCCTTGAACTTCCATTCTTTCAGCAAGCTGGCGAGATCTAACTTAGCCAAATGTAGAACACGCTGGACCTTTTAAGTCTAGGAGGACCGTTCAACGTGATTGAACAATGCCAACTGATGTTTTGATTTCAAAATTGTTGAACCACGTCGATTACATTGATAACCTATCATGGTTGAGCTATGCAGCTGACTGAAGCAGTCATCTCAAAGCGGCGGTCAGTACTATTTGGTAGTTCTACAGGCGACCTGAGCCTTAAGAGCTGCGCGAGTGTTCATCGTGGTTGGAAAGCCTTGACGGTTCAGGGTTCAACATGTTGAACATGCCGCTTTACCGCTGTTGAACCGGTTGAACGTTGATGTTGGTTCGCGATCGTCGATTTGAGGGGCTTCAACGAGTACCAAGTGGGACTGCCAGCCAATCGGAGACTGTTTCCCCGATTTTCGAAAAAGCAGGCCTAAAACATCGTACTTGTGTTGAGCCATGCTTGCGATCTTCTTGTGATTGTCCTGAGGACACCAATTGGCGGCACTAAATAGAGCAAGCCTAAGCCGTAAAATGCACGAACAGCCAAGCACGCAACTTTTTGTCCTGGACGGTGGTACGGGCTTTTGGGTGCCCATCACGGTTGAACGATGTCGCGGGCGTGACCGTTCAGCATTTGGTTGAACCATACAGTATGTGTTTGACTATCTCTTCAGGGTTGAATGTAACTAAGTTGACCTGCCGTCATTTGGACGTCGGGCGGTGCTGATTGGTGCACCGTACTTTCCCACGTCGATTTGGACCACTTTGACTGACTTCTCTAAGTTCTAAAGTCATCGTGTTTTAGAATGTTCAGACAGTTCAGTCGCGGTCAATAACAAACATAAGCCGCATGGTTGGAACAAGTTGCACCTGAAAAGTATCAAAAAACTTATCCAACTGTAATGGTACTATACAGAATGCTTGGATCTGCGACAAATTTATATAGAAGGTTAATCTCAGTCACACTTCAGTATCGATGGTAATACTAGGGAGTGGGCCAGTAAGGGGAAAACGGCACAGTAGACATAAGGAAACAAAGAGAAAAGCAGACCACGCGTGCATTCATTTGTGGCCACCATTTCCAGACTCAGAGACGGGTAAGCAACTATGTGGTGTCTCTCAATTGCCGCTGAAGTTGCGGTCGCCGCCACAGATAGCTCTGGGTGGACTTTTGCCGAGCGAACGAATGTTACTGTACATATATAGGCATCATAAAAGAGCAATTCAAGAATACAGTATCATGCCTCTTCCGGGACAATCCAGGACTGTCCTGTAGCATAGTGCGCTGCGCTAGTGTTAAGAAACACGCGAAGCAACCGAAGGATCGATCGAGTTTTCCTTTTCTGCAAATGGCTCCCAATCTGCCAGCAGACGTGGGCATGAAGGAGTTCTTCAGGTTGAGAAAATTCAGACTCGCTGTGAGCCGCTTACGCGTTAAGCAAATTCGCAAGCTGTGATCACCAAGAATCCGGCGTAGCCTGCTTTCCGTCCACGTCTGTAACAAGTATCAGTGGCATTGCCGAGCTTGTGCGCGACGCCTGCAGGCAAGGCTCATTTCTAATAATTTCTTCCGAACGCTTGATTGGTGAACTGTAATTCTTTCGATCTTCAGTATGTCTCCCAACAGCGGTTTTCAATGCCTTTAGTTTCTTTCTCAATGATATCACTCTCTTCAGAAATAGGAGCATATTCGTTGAGAGTTCTCAAGCGACAGCTACAGCACCATGAACGAGGCGGCGATGGGACATTTTTCTATTGTTCACCATCAGTCCATAGGCTTTTCGGATCGTAGTGAAAGTAAAAACTGCCAACGAATATCAGAGTAAACCTTACTAGATGAGATTCGATGCTTGGAGCAATTGAATTTGCCCAGGGTATATTGATGGCATTGCCCGTATATTTATTTATTTATTTATTTTGTTTTTTATTTTTATTTTTATTTTTATTTTTATTTTTATTTTATTTTTTTATTTTATTTTATTTTTTTATTTTATTTTATTTTTTTATTTTATTTTATTTTTTTGGGGGGGGCAATCAAAAAGACCATAATCAATACTCAATGTGCTCACGAACGGTTTCTTTGACTTCTGACCCACCTAATCTTCGGGACATATGTGAGGGCACTTAAACGGGTCAGTGCCCGTTAGATTGTTGGGGGCAAAAGTCATGTGCCACCCACGTATGTTGCGCAATTCTTAGTTTGGTCCTTGTGTTTAATGTGCTTGGAGTTGCTTGCGGTTTTGAGAGTGCCGAGAGGTGCTAGGGATTCGTTCCCTGTGTCTTGCCCTTCCACGCACGGTGCCTATTCAACCGTATCACAGCATGCGTCTGAGGCCTGGCAACTTATGTCCTAGTGGTAGCAGAAGAATATCTTTTCCTTCTATATCATTCAACGTCCATCTCAACTTCTTTTTGATTTCTACTGCGACACATCCATAGGCATCTTACTCCTTAGCAGGCTGGCAAGCAAGCGAGGAAGGATGGGAGGGAGAGGATCAGCGGCTTGTTGTTCGCAAGTGTATTCGCATTCGTAAACGTTTTCATCACGGCTTTCACGCAGATTCATGCCATTCAATCGCATTCACCCTTAGAGCTCCGCGGACGCTGTGGTCAGCTATAATGCTTGATTGGTAAGTGCCAAGGATGGATACGAGGTCCTAATGCAATTTCAGAGCGTTGACAGCGGGCAGTCGAATGCACCAGAAGAATTTAGTCGTAGCTGATTTGAAATCAACTTTATATGACAGCTGGTGAGATAGCGACCTCAACCGTCCTTAGATGTGGGTATCTAAGGGATCTGGCTTCCATCATAACCTCAATACCATGGTCATTAGACGTGCAATAACTCTCTACCATTCGCTCCAGAAATGCCTAAACAGATCGCTATTATCGGCCTTGGGGCCATGGGAACAGCCCTTGCCTCAAATTACCTCGAGAAGAGCTATGTGACGACGGTTTGGAATAGATCGCCTGACAAAGCAAATCAACTCGTTTGAAAGGGCGCCCTGTTAGCGACCTCAGTATCAGAAGCGCTTGAAGCTAGCAAGTTCATTGTTGTATGCCTAGCTGATGAATCGGCTGTTGAAGAGACTCTCTTGAAGGCAACCACAGTCCTTGCTGGGAAGATAGTGGTGGATTTAACCAGCGGTACGCCGAATCAAGCTCGCAAAATATCCAACTGGGCAACCTCATTCAACGCCGAGTACATCAAAGGAGGCATAATGGCAGTCCCGCGTATGATTGGATCCCCTCATGCTATGCTTCTGTATAGTGGACGGTCCACAGCTGCCTTTCAAACCGTTAAAAATGATCTATCTGTTCTCGGAAGCGCCAGATTCCTCGGCAACGACCCCGGCTCTGCATCTCTGTACGACATAGCTTTATTATCAGGAATGTACGGACTTTTCTCAGGATTCCTGTATGCAACCGCGCTTGTTAAATCCGAACAAGGAAACACCGCAACCGAGTTCACGTCGCTTCTAATTCCATGGCTGTCTGCAATGACAAACAATCTTAGTTCGCTCGCTCAGCAAATCGACGAGGGCGACTACACCAGTCAATGATCCAGCTTGGCAATGCAGGCGCACGGGATGAAAACTATGTACACAGCTAGCGAGGAGCAGGGTGTTTCACCGGAAACGATTCTGCCTATCAAGAGTCTGATGGAAAGTGCGGTGAAGAATGGGCATGGCGATGCCGGTCTTTCGGCATTAATTGAATATTTTGCTTTACGCCCCAGGAAGTAGAAGTCTGCTAGATACGTAATACTATCGTTCAAAATCCTACGAGGGCGCTTTCCTTTCCTCTTTCAGTCATTGCCGCTTTAAAAGGGTGAGCAGGGTGAGTCAGGTGATTTGATCACCTTCAAAGGTGCTTGGCTTTGGTGCTAGGGTCATTCACATTTCTGAAGACCTTGTGTCGCGGCACCCGAAGGGCGACAAGGCCATGTTTATCTGATTTTGCTTTGAAGACGACGAATTCAAGGCCCTGACCAATTGGCTCAGGGTCCGTTAGTCCTTCACTGGCGATAAAGGGTTGGACCAGTTCCATAATGGCGTGCATTATCGGTTTATATTCCACTCAAGTTGAAAATGAAGTCGTGGCAGCCCTAGCTTCCTCAACCATATTACTGTCTCTTTAGGGTTTCAAAGAAGTGTATGATCGTGGTCTAACAGGAAAATGAGGAGGCAATGAGAAAACCAGAAGCGAGATGTGGCAGTTTGCTGAAGAAAAGAGGCGTAGGAATGATGCTGGCATCCGGGGGAGAGAGGTGGTTGCAGGGTTGGTTGGGTAGCTCGTGGAGGATAGGTGGCTGGTTGCGGTGCTAACGGTTCTGATTCGAGCCTGGCGGTTGGTAACTCGCCAGGAGTCTCAAGGTCGTCCTCCGCTTGGTTCACAGGTGTAGGATCGGTTACAAGCAGCGACAATAACCGAAGCAGGGGTTTTGTTCGTCGTGGACATCATTGGTTCAGGGAATCAGGTGGAAACCAAGTTCGGCTTCCAAAAAGGGCCATAGTTCGCGAGTCCACTCGGATATTGCGAGAAGGGCTGATGATAAAGAGACGCCCTCCCTACCCCCACGGATCTGCCTCGTATTCACCTCTTCTCCCACACTACATTCACCATGGCCCCTCCCGAAATCCATTCAACATTTTCCGTCACTTCGGGCTGCCTCTGCTTCGGGGACCTTGCTGAAATCTGTAAAGGGGCATCCAGCACGATCCAGCCATTTCCTAATGTGAGACTGAGGGTCGGTGGAACTGTCAAAGCCCATAAGATTGAGTACAATGTGGTGGCGGAGAACGGAAACTGGAATGTCTACCAGCTAATTGACTGGGAAAGAGGTGGCATTTCAGGATGGTTTATTTGCCATTCTACCACGGTTGATAACCCTGCTCAGGAAATGGACAAGATTCTCCAAGTCTCCGGCTCACCCTACGAACCAGACAGTGGAAGCATGATGAATAACGACAAAACAGCTGCTGAGGGGATCTTTGTCATTAACTGATATGATTGGATCTCCTCCAGCAGAAATTTCAATATGGATGAAAATGATTCCCAGTCTCAAGAAGGTCCCTTTAACGCGAACATGTATGGAAGCGCAGCTGGCCTTATTGACTACAGCCAGGCCATATCCCAAGTGGACGCATGGCGAGCACAGAACCCTTGATCAGCCAGAGAGGCCATCATCGCCGACAGCGGAATCTGGATGATTATACCACACGACGAATACCATTACGGTCGCTTTGGGTTTAATGACGACCGCACCGCGGCTCAGTCTTTCCTCTTCTTCGCAACGAACATGTATTTCACTCAGACATCCTTCCGCGGCGAAGATCAGGAAATGTTCCGTAAGAAAGAGTCCCACGAAGAAAGATTCGCCCGGCGTCTCCGTGAGGGATATGACTTTTCTTGGCTTGAAGAGTTGAACGAGCGATGTGGTCCTCAGGAGGAAGAGGATGCAGGGATTTTGCGCTTGTATCCTTTGCGACCTCCTGAGGAGAAGTGGTTGGGTCCATATGACAAAACAGAACACCTGTTTCCCCCTGAGGAGTTTGACTTTCTGCTCTATGAAGGGCCGATTTTGCATGACCCACCATCGTTCAGCGCGTGTGTGGGAATAGATTGACCTGGTAGGGGATCAAGGTTTGTTGAGCAATGGAAGGAGCAGGTCTGTGACCTTATTAATGAGATGATTMTGAGTTATCTGGAGAGTGTTGTATTGGGTGTTTTGCGCTCCCAGATAACTCTGCCAATGGGGTTAGTGTCATCACCCGCAACCGCAGCTACGTCGTTCGCAGCTGCTCTGTTTCCCTGTCACCAGGATCAAGATCGCAGGAGAACAGGTGATTTTATGCTGTACGAATACTTTCTGAATGCGCTTCCTATGGAGGGGTTTGAGACTGCTAGTATGGCGGAAAAGATCGAGATGTTTTTCAATTCAAGGCTAGGGGAGAATGAAATCAAGGTAGGAGAAAGGGAAAAGGAGATAATGGAGAAGTTATCTTGTGTGATGGTTCTTCTGGTAATGGAATTGCTGGATTACTCCGCTTTGTGTGCTTGGGACAGTAACAGAGATGCAATCGTGCCATGTAATATGCGGGTAATAGTGTCTGTGGGCAATCATTAGATGTTCGAAATGTTCCAGTACTCAAGGGTGTTCTGGAAAGGGCAATCGAGTTAGATATGCGAATGATCAGACTTTTCTTTCCCGTTCGAGATATCTATATGTGAACGGAAGACGTCCAACAAAGTGGTCACCATCGCAGAACTGACAACACACTGACTGCCCTAGCTGCACAGGATGCTGGCTAAATTACAATCTCTTGGCCAGCGTTCGTCTCCCTCAAACTTGCTGTCAACCAACATGTTCTTCCGCGCAATCTTCGGTTTTCCAGGCCCGTCCGTATGTATTCTACAGTGGCTTCACTAGCTACTTCCATCGTGCTCATGGCCGTCCACATAGATCCGACGATATTGAGGTATATAGCACGCAATGTGTTCTAGTGAGGTGGGTCGGCTGTGTAGAGATCAGTGTCGCTCGATGGATTGGTGGACAATTTGGTTAACTACCCACTCTGAACAAGACGAGTAGTGACAAATATGTTGAGGGGCAGTTAGAGTATCTACAAAATATGCAGAGGTTTGATTGAACCACAAATCGGTCCTTTTGACATTCGGAGCTCGAAGCAAAGTGGCTTGACGGACAGCTAACGATCAGGTGAAGGACCTCGATAAATGTATTGGCCACGATCACCGAGTATTAAACGCCCTGATTCCTCATCATTCGCAAAGTGTCGTATCCCGTGGTTATACGTTCTATGGCAGAATGGGCAGTAGACAGTGACGCTATGTGCACTCCACCACACTGCAATAGCGGCTTCCCTTGTTGCTTTTGGCGCTTTGAGCTGTTCTGGGCTTGCTCTAGTACAGTCACGTGGACGCGCACTTCCCAGCACACCGTGTTCAGGAAGAAAGCGGAGTGTCCGATAATCCCACATTTTCGAATGATCGAACAAATGTGATAGTGATCAGGCGTTGGATTCTCTTGCAAAGGGGAGGCAACATTGAAGTTCCACTAAAGGGTTGCTTTATCGATGACGTACGTCGGAAAGGCTAGTTGTATGACCGACCCGCGCAGAGTTTTCATGCATGCACAGGACCTGGCAGGTGTAAGTACCAGGGCGACTTTCTGCAGTTCAAGTAGATCAACTCGCGGTATCTCTCTGGAGCTGCTCCAAAACTTCATCCAGATCCATTGTCCAATCCACTCGTATGACTGGAGTGTCGGGATGAAGTGTTGACCGGAAAATCGCATGAAACGCGCATTGATGTGGAGGTCCGAGACGAAGAGGCTCGCAGTCAAGACGGTCCTACAGGCAGGAACGAAGGTACACGAGGCAGAAGAGCTGCAATGCCGTAACAAAGTTGGAACTTCAACGCTGTGTGCCATTAGCGAGGCCAGACGAGATGACTTGCGCTCGGTGTATCGTTGGCTCACCGTGCTAAACTAACCACAAGATAATGTTACCTTGAAGCTTTGTATGCTGAGTCCAAGCATCGTGAACCATATCAAGCCGTCACCAATCAACTTTGATTAGATGTGAAAGTATCTTTGCGTTTTCTTTGCAGTGGCGACAGCACAGGCGTTGGTCGCTGTGGCGCATCACTCTTTTGCCTCCTACGAATATTCAACCACTCTTTTTCGTCCCTCTCCTCTACTCTTGGTTTCCTCAAGCCCTCATATTTTTCTCTTTCCTTTTTGTCTTTTTCTTTTCTTTCGACGAAAATGGGGAGCTCGACAATGATGTTCGCTGGATTGACGTTCTCCTTGCGTCTACGTATGAGCCGACGAGGGCAATAGACCAAAAATTGGGGATCGTTGGAAATACGAGGTAGTAGGTGGAGGCAGGTACTACCAAAGTCTCGTGAGAGCGATCGGTGACAGTTAGATTGGAAAGACTCATGTCGTCCATCGCGTTGCAGAGCATGGGCGCGGTTGTTACGTTGGTGGTGTCGGATGAGTCGTATTATCGTGTTGTATCCTTATGGACTGGTTCGATTTGCTCTCGTAAGCAAACTCGGGCATGTCGCTGACGTCGTAGTTCATGCCATAGGCGATTCGGCGGAGATTGCTATCGCACAGTTGCCATGCTCGTCGTGACGAGGCGCTGCGCTTGGACATGACATAGAGCCAGCGAATGACCTTCTTGGCGGCCAACAGAAAATTCTGCTCCTCTCCGGGCATATGAATGCTACCGAAACATAGCTCGAGGAGAAGGATAGTCGCTGCCTGCATCATGAAGTGCAATATGCACCACCAGGGACAGATCCGGTAGAGATGTGCGCCGTTTGGCTGGTCTGGCAAGAGATCGAGCATTTTCTGTGTTGACTCCAGCGATATCTCGGCCATCTTATGACCGAAGGAGGGCTTTTTATTCGGGTCCGGGCGTGCATCGCGTCGGCACAGGAATGGCCATCCCAACGTGATTCGAGCACTGTAGAAGTGGAACGCCAGGAAGAGTTTCGAACGGAGCGCATCCTGATCCTGACCGTCTGTTGTGCGGACAAAATCAAAAGTCTCGGGCAGATTGTGGTACCAGCGATCGATTTTCGCTCGGAGCTCCCCGATACGATTCTCAATATGAGCCCATGGTGCGTTGGCGCAATCTGGGGAATAGACCCTGTTGATAATCTCTCGGCCAATAACTGTCAGATCAGTATAGAGCAAGTAGCACAAGGCGTGGCTCGAAGGCTGACATTTAAGCCATTCGGCGTTCCGTGGATTGTCTATGTACTGAGCGTCTTGGCCTCTCGATGGATTCAGAGGCATTTGGCGAAAGTAAGAACTTGCCATCGCTGACCCTACGCATGCCTGACGTAAGTCTTCATCCGCTAGAAGTCTCGCTGCAAAAGGCTCCCGTAGCTGATCTTCCTCAAAAGGCAGCGGCATGGGCGTGGTGCAGATACCATCCACGATACATGTAGACCTGCCAGTCATGATACCAAGCATATGTTCAAATGTATAGAGACACCACCAGAGCCTATAGCGTGCTTCTTTAGAGACATTCGGCATCCTATCAAGAGTATTCTTCATATTAGTCCCAAGAGAAATGGCAGAGCGAACAGCCAGAGATGTGATCCTCCATGCGCTGAGAGGGAGTTAGTTATGACCGCACACCGAAAGAAAGGTTGGGTGAGCTGAGCTCCGAGGAATTGCTTACCGATTGATCTGGTCAGACGCGAGAAGATAGAAAGCAATCAGACCTTCAACCTGTACCTGCTGCAGGTCAGGATGATTGAAGAGCGTATCGTCGTTCATACTGAGCATGCGGGCCCGAGTAAAATACACAAGATGATCGTGTTCGTCTCCGCCCCAGGGGTCGTGCGTAAGGCGAGCATGCTTGGACGCGATGGCAAAAATCATGTTCAGAATGGCCAGCCATTTGTCACCAGGTCGCGCTGCACCTTCGAAGAAGGTCCTGCCTCATCCGTGGATGCCGCGGGGAAAAGTTACGCTTGTCCAGTCGTTACATGCAGTCGGCGATTCTCTAGTTCCGGCTGGCTCTGGAGGCATTTCAATAAGCTTCACGAGCTGCCGCTCAAAAGAAATACAGTGTGTGCTTCCACAAAGTCTGGGTCCAACGTTCTGACAAGACTGTTGTTGTAACAGCGAATACCGACCGCGGACCGAACAATAATGAAGACGAAACTACATGAGTGACACCTGCTCTCCACCATAACGGCACCCCACAAAACTCACAGCGACCTGTGAGTGACATTTCCAGATAAAAATTCTGGGATTCAGCTTGCGCGGCAGGAACGAGTTTGTCGGATTCTCTGGAAATGCTGTTGGCTATAGATCTGTCGAAGGAGGGCCATGGTAGTCAAGAACATATGGCTGGCGAGCATGATCAAAATGTGGTAGTATTTCAGTTGACTGCCAATGTATCATACCTAGTTGGAATTGGTAGTGGAACGAGCGTCGGAGACATTACGTACCATTCCAGCGACCTAGCTGGTATAGTAAGTGGCCGGTTTTATATTTTGGTCCATGACCTCCATAACGCGTTTTCGAGCCTCCTTTTTTTTGCTGTCGTCCGTCTCCCCTCTGCGGACATATTGTCTGGCCGACCAGATGTCTTCAAGGTTCCAATCATTAGAGAGAGAGATAGTCCACATTCTGGCACGGCTCGTCATCAATAACACAGTCCTCTGGAGACCCTGGACTTGGGCAGACTGGTTTTGAGGAGGCGGTATGCCGTTTGACGAAGGAATTCTTGGCCCTAAATGTGGAGAGACTTACCAAAGTCACGAAAGAGGTACCGACTTGGCCAGTCACTCGCTTAGAGATAGACGTCTTAGGCAATCAGGATGCTGTTTGGAGATATCCTCATATCTCAAGCTTTGGTCCTGTGCACTAACAAAGGTAAAAGAATGGTACTCCATGCATCATACAAGGATTTATCAGTTAGACCAACGGGTTGCCATATAGCCATCATGAGGCGTAATTGGCGTCAGAACTCTGCATGAAAACAACAAGCTAAAGCGCGGGAATCCATCAAGTGTACAGTGGCCTCACGTATTTTAGATAAGAGTCCGAGCCGAAACTAATACTATTGGAAGCCCTGGCCCCAACAGAGCCCCGATTACGTCACTGCAGCTTCCCTGGCCAACTCATTGCTTTTGCTGGATTAGGACGGACTAGGAGACGTTCTCGATTTGATTTGCTGCGGAAAGGAATACTAGCCTTCCGTGCCGCTCTGGCACAAACGGAGCACAACATTGGTGCTGTCACATGATTTGGACCTTTTTCAGTGTGCTGCAAAAGGTTGACAGACCCATATAGCTATAGCCAATCCGCATTCACGAGTTCTACGTAGTATTTTCACTGACTACTGATGACTTTTGCACCACACCTCCGTTGGAGTGGGTCAAGCCCTGCTCTCCGGGGTAGTTAGCCGTTCAGCCCTCTTAGTCAGCACCCCGGACCTATTGATACGACGTAAGTTATCCGTCCCGTACCCCTGAATACTATGCTTCCTCAAAACTTCCTGATCAAGCTCAGGAAAAAGATCTAAGCGCCTCAACGCAATAACATTTGGTAGCGGGCGTGAACACTTTTATACTATCGCAGGAGATATATATCTGCGAGCAACAATGGCTAATAATCATCGTCGGATCTACACGGTAAGCATATCAGTCATGACTAAGTGCATATCCGTCAGTCAGCAAGCTAAATATCCCCAGGATCCGGAGCCGGAAGCCGACTCAGCGTACTGCGAAAGTGTCCAGTCGTATGTGCTCACATGTCATGTTCCAGGTCAGGATCACTAACCGATCTTTTATGTTGGCTAGAGAAACGACATCTCTTCGCAGTAGTATTCTTGACTATCACTATGAGAATGGACGGCGGTATCATGCATATCACTCTGGTGCTTATTGGTATGCAATACGAAATCCATAACATGAAAGATATCTCAGACTGAGATGACTATAGGGGTCCAAATGATGAGCGCGCAATGGATCATCTTGATTTAGGGTACGTGCCTCCAGTTCAACTTTGGAGCAAAATTGCTTGCACAGATGGTGACAGAATCCTCAGCCATCATTTATATACCCTCATTCTCCGCGGAGAATTATACTTAGCACCAATATCGAAAAATCCTCAAGTATGTAGCAGGAAACCAGGTCACTTTTCCTGGCACAGATGATCCCATACCTGATTTCAAACTCGATATAGGAAGTGTTGGATATTGGGACAGGAACTGGCATATGGGCAATGTTCGTTCCACTGGGTCTTCATGGACTTATGCATATAATTTCCACTCACTCCATCGCCTAGTGACTTCGCCGATCGCCACCCCTCTGCGAGAGTAACTGGTACTGACCTCTCCCCGATTCAACCAAATTTGGTGCCGCCAAATGTTCAGTTTGAAGTGGACGACTGTTGTGATGAGTGGACATTCCCGGCCAATAGTTTTGATTTTATCCACGTCCGCGGTCTATACGGATGTGTCGCGGATTGGGTGTTGTTCTACAAAAAAGCGCTTCGGTAGGTGTAGCCAGACCAGCTGACGCTATAGAGAATCCGCAAGACTAAACCATGTGGTGGCTTCGCTCTAGGCATTTAAGGCCAGGCGCCTACCTCGAACAAGCAGAGCAGTCGATGGTACCGAAGTCCGAAGATGGAAGTACTGACGGCACAATATTTGAAGAATGGGGAAATGTGTTCCTACAAGCGGGCGACGCTTTTGGAAAAACCCTAAGGATCGTCGATGAAGCGAAAGCGAAAATGATCGCGGCCGGGTTTGTAGATGTTGCTGAGCGTCGTTTCAAAGTTCCCATCGGGCCGTGGGCCAAGGACCCGCATTTAAAAGAGCTGGGCCGGTATAACAGGCTGCACTGGGAGGAAGGAATTGAGGGGTGGGCGATGATGCTGTTGACAAAAGTTCTCAGGGAAAGCATTGACTGAACACCTGAGATATGTACTCACCTTGCTGACACTTTCTACAGTGGAGCCGCGTAGAAGTTGAGCTATATCTCATGAAGATGAGACAGGGATTACGCAATCCCAAAATCCATGCTTACCAGGAATAGTGAGTCCCCTTGTATACTATATAATATATTGCGCTGAGCATCGAGTACTGACTGGTGATACAGTACTTTCGTTTCGGGTCGGAAACCATACTGAAGAGGAGGGCGGCTCGGTAGGTTTGGGGGACTCGGTTGGGAATTATGTTATCTCAAACCGGAGACGATCAGCTGCTGAACTATTCCTTGATAATTATACCCTCATAATAGATTTAGGAGAACCACACGGTGCCGGCAGGCCGAGACTTATACGAAGTTAATGTTTATCACCGTTACAGTCTACGCTCGATAAGGCTGAGCAGTAGAAAGGTATCGACTCATACGATTCTTGACTCGAAATTCCAAACAGATAAAGTACGCATGTGCATAGTAATTTTGGTGCCGCCAGAAAGTTAGCTCATCTACCCATGAGATATAGGATATGCGTTCATGGAGAGCTCAAGGTCTCCAAAGCGTATGAAACTGCTCTATGGTGTCTCTTATGCTACAAGACAGCAATGGAATGTAGTCACTTCTAGCCGACACGTGACGACGACCACAGGATTCCTCGAGTGCAAAAAAGCTGCGCAGAGACATATGAGGGTACTTAGATGTGGAAAAGATGGCCAAGATACATGACCGTACCCCAGCGAATCAGTCGCTCCAAGGCAAGATAAATACCCATTACAAAGCTAACAAACGATGTCAGGCCCCTTGGTGGCATCCTATCCCTCGAGCAGAGGATCAAAAGGTCAGTAGGTCGTCATACACGGAAGAAGGAAGTTGTCGGCGATTTACTCAGCAAAGTTTTCGAGAGCGCCCTTTATACGCATCGTTTTGCTTGGATCCATATATCTGTCTCCAGCGAAGGACTCGAGGTAAGACAGGGAGACAGCCATATCAGTATTATCTCAGCTTCTCCGGCGGCGTTAAGATTCTCATAGGTATATGGAAAGAACTTTAGAACGTGTCTTTAGATGTCACCCGTTCAAACACCTCCGTAATGGGTTCTGCGGGCTTGTAATTCCTCTGTATGCTTTGGTTGAGACCATAATGCTGGATGAAGAGATGCAGAAGTGCCTGGGCCTTTTGTTTTGTTGTGGAGCCAAAAGAATGGCTGGAGAGAATCCAACGCAGGCTCTAAGGATGAGTGATGTCGATGCTCGTCCACGATGGGTAGGTTACGATAAGAGCAAGTCGCGATGGGACTGACTAATCATTAATCAGGTCGCTATCACGTGCGAGTCTGGTCATCAAACACAAAGAAACCCAAAGAAAAAGTACATAGAGCTAGCATCGAAGAGGGAATCTGTGTGTAAGATCATCACGTCAGTCCTTGATAACACCTAGCGAACCTCTGATTGGTCGCGCAAGGAGGTTCTGGCCATGTTGGACGGACTCTCCAAACGCGGTTGCGTTTATCTGCCTCCCGTGCATCCTTGCCTACTGCCCGTTGTCCTTCTGTATTTAATTATGGAGTTGAATCTTTGTGTGTTGCTCTAGCTAACCCCGTGGGCGCACGTCTACTATGCGGCTTCATTAAGACTATGGACACTAAACCGGCTTGAAGACATTTGCCGACTCCTCTTCTATTACGTGCAACGTGGATTTCTGACAGCAGGTTGTTGGCTATTCTACGATAAACTTTCACTGCTCTGGGAGGGAGTCCTAGTTGCCTTCGGATTCGAGGACACAGAGAACAGTGGCTATCGGAGCCACCACAGTTGAAAGCAGAGGTGCCTTAGTGCCCAGTGCGTAGTACCAGCCACCGATCCTAAGTGCCCAAGGACATAACAAGCCAGCAAGGCGCGACTTCCCTAGGCGGTGAATCCCCACTTAATATCTTTGTCGCTAAGCGGCAGATAATTCTCCGCCCATCGACACGTCATATACTCCACGGAAACGGTTAACCCTCTATGGCCAAGAAGGGACAGAGTCTTATTGCCGCACTCAATGAGCACCTCCCACTCGGCCTTTGTGCTCTTTTACGCTGGTATGTTGATCAATCATTCCTTAAGCTCGTTGCTTGTTGCAACATAAACCAAACTACCCTGAAGTGACATTCTTACGAAGTTTGGCCAATAACATAAAACATCGTCAACATAATCGATGCTTGCTTTTCTCCTCCCTGGCCTAACCATGGACAACAGTCCTCGAGTCTGCCCGCCGCCAGCGAACCCACACTGGAACAAAACGCTACAAGTATCTGAGAAAACATGCAATAGGAGGTACGCAAGCAGGCAACGCAGTTAGCATTCTGTTTAACTGAATGAGCGTGTGGTCTGAGCAGCTTCTCTCGAAAGGAAACATTAGCAAATCATCAAGGCTATCATCAACAGGAGCAACCCTCCCAATTGCTGCATGAGTGCGTTTCTTCGGACGAAATGTCAGCTGAAACTATTGTCAACCGCCTATCCTCCGACTTCCAGCAATTTGTATGCAAGAAGACCATGCCACCATGAACGTGACATAAACTTAAGCTCGTCATTCTGTTCAGATCGCGATCCTCCGAGGATCCTGGCTATGTTGCCGCATGATACTGAGGTTGGGAACACAAATGCGCCAAGGACGGAACAACTAACAATTGCAGATTATCTGGGCTATACGATTCCCGTTACACACCAGCCAGCTCCTGCTGATTGTCGTCTGACATAACGATCAGTGGTCCTCCAGCGTCTTGCCATTCCAGTGGAATATGCGGCGAGAAATGAATTTTTTTGGTTTGCCACCCCAATTATCCTGCAATTTGGAGTGTTTCCGTAGCGCGCTTCATTTGTGAACATATTGTGACGTCGGACCCCAAGTGTGCGATGCGACAGGATGTATGGTCAGGTCTCATGTGGGTTCTCATAGCCTGCAAGTGCGCGCCGGCACATCTCGTCTGACTCCTTTAGCTTGCCCTGTAAAAAGTAAACAAATCCAAGATTATTGGCTGCACCAAGCGTGGATGGATGATCAGGGCCCAGTGTCTTCTCACAGCCAGCCAGTGCTCGCTGGTACATCTCCTCTGTCTCCTTAAACCTGCGCTGAAATATGTAGAGATGCCCAAGATCCTTGACTGTATCAAGGGTAGATGGATGATCAGGACCCAGAGCCTTCTCTCTGCCTGCCAGTGCTTGCTGGAACATCTTCTCTGACTCCTTAAGCTTGCCATTAACTGTGTAGAGTTTCCCAAGATTATTGACTGTATCGAGGGTGGATGTATGATCAGTACCCAGTGCCGTCTCATAGCCTGCCAGTGCTCGCTGGTACATCTTCTCCCCCTCCATAAACTTGCCCTGAGCAGAGTAAAGAAGCCCAAGATTACTGACTTTATTAAGGGTGACTGGATGGTCAGGACTCAGCGCCTTCTCATCCTCCCCTGACCAGAGTAGAGAAGCCCAAGATTATCGACTGTATTGAAGGTAGATGTATGATCAGGGCCCGGAGACTTCTCTCTGCCTGCTAGAGCCCGCTGGTACATCTTCTCCGCCTCCAGAAACTTGCCTTGAGCAGAGCAAAGGCGTCCAAGATTACCGACTGCATGAAGAGTAGATATATTATTAGGGCCCAGGGCCTTCTCATAGCCTGCCAGTGCCCGCTGGTGCATCTTTTCGGCCTCCTTCAGCTTGCCCTGATCAAAGTAGAGGTTCCCAAGGTTATTGACTGTATCAAGGGTGGATGGATGATCAAGACCTAGCGCCTTCTCTCTGCCTGCTAGTGCTCGCTGGTACATATTCTCGGCCTCTGTAAGCTTGCCCTGGTCAGAGTAGAGATTCCCTAGACCATGGCATGCTCCCAAGGCCGCAATATTGCCATCCCGCCAATGTCCATGGCGTACGTAATTTGCATGTGGCATAAGGCGTCGTTGAAGCTCTGGATAATTTCTGTCATTTGTGCTGGGAACAGCGAATCTTCTGGACAGCACCGGGACGGATGCTGAAAGTTTGCGTCTTATTGGATATCGTCATTAGCTCTTAATCATCTCCGTTGAGTATCTATGTTCTGTTCTGAGCCGCTGGATCCTCCAACACTAGTTTAAAAACCAGAAAGATACTTTGGATTTTTCATAATAGTGAATTTTGGGGAGGGGGATTCTCATGACCCATATTTATGGATCGCATCAAAAGGCTGCAAGCAGTCTGAGCATGACGACATGGTGACACAGAGCGTCTTCCAAATGTCTAGGCAGAGGGGAAGTTGCAGCTGACAGCCAGTAGGATGATAAGCAGTTTCATGGGACAACCACTATCAAGAGAGGTATATAATTACCCCCGTCCTGAGTGAACTAGAACAAGCTTCTGAATTGCCACTTTGACTCTGGAGATAAGAAGTCAAGATGAACTTTCTACACAGTAGATACCACGGATTCACTGCTATCCGTGCCGTCTAACAATGCTGATTATAATGATACTGCCAGAAAACAGCTTTCCCCCGGCATTCCTATATTGAATACCTGCCTTGGCATTAGGGTTCGAATATATATACATTGGCGCTGCATGCACTCTGCTTCCAGCTATATATCAATTCTTGAGGATAGAATATCTATGGACCTGATCGACACGACTGTGCATATTCTGGAAGTTAATGCTCCAGACTAAGTCAGAGGCCGGTCTCCTGTGGAACAAGTGTCTGTACAGATATCCCAGGCCGCATTGGCATTGCGGTAGCGATACTGGTCGTCGCGTATAACGTCGGTTTTGCATGATGTGTCAACACCTCCGAAACGGGGATGCCTGCTGTCTCGAAGTCCATTGGAGAATTGATGCCTGCTACAATCATGGACTGCATCTCCTTCCGATGCTCTCGGATGTAGTTGAGCCTGCGGCGATGCTTCGCTGCATGACGACGTAGATGTTCCTTCTCCTTAGTGCATTCGGGATCTTCGCATTCTTCGATCCCAAGATGTTCAGCCACCTCAGACGAATTCGCAGGGCGAGTGCTGTTGCCATCATCTATCACATATCGCGCAGCTGTATAAGGTGAGTTTGGCGGATAACCCTGGCGAAGGTGGAATGATAAACATACTTTCATCATCAAACATCAATACTTCTAACGCTCGTTCTACAGATCGCTTGACGGGCTTGGTCTTGCCAGCTGGATGATGTACTTGTCAGTTGACAAGAGAGGATTCAAGAATAAGAGAGTTACCATACCGGTTACAGAAGCGGCAGGAGTCGTGGTGTAGCGAAATGGAAAATTAAAGGGGATGCCGTTCCGAAAATAATAGCCGTCGTCTGCCAGCAGAGCAAACCCAGGCTCAGCGTCCGGAGCCAGCGTTCGAGGCCAGCAATCGTTTGCTGTCAGAAGATCAGGATCTCCTGTAACGACGGGTATGCTCTTCTAATCCATGACAATCGACGTGATGGTAGAGGTGAGATGCTCTTGGACCCAAACAGTATCTGTGAATAGTCCGATGTATGTTCTAATGGTTGACGTGCTGGTTGTTACAGGAGGCGGAATTGCTCCACCTGGAACCACGTCAGGTTTTCAAAGCAGACTATTCTTTGAGAAAGGGAGCTTACAATCTTGCTCGACTCTAATCTTTGATCCGGCAGCGTTTGCAACACCTAGAGGTTGATTAGCGCAGCTCTCGAAATAACAGTCAAGATAGGGCTGTGGTATGTTCAAACCTCCGTTCTGTCCTCCCGGGAGGTATCGAATTATGATACCAGCAGAGCCCTTGTTTCGCGACCCCCAAATGTTGAAGGGTGGCCACTCATCTGCCTCACAATCGCTATCCTTCATCATTCCGGCATAGGGAGCCCAGACGCTTGAAGTGATCCAGGACTTCCACCCATCATGGTGCGAGCTAGACCATTTATCCGGTCCTTCTCGACCCGGGTTGTAGCGAACGATCTGGTCAGGACATGGAAGCGTTCGCAAGCCATACCAGGTTGCTGCCGATCGAATGTTTGTACAGGCCTGGGGATAGCGTTGACCTGGTAGCAATGCTAGGTCAGGCACATATTGGATTGCGGCTGTTAGACGTTCTCTTACCGTCGCAGGTTTTGGTTACATGAACACTATCTCTTGTCCTCGATGCAGGGGTCACTGTACTTGTGATGGTGCCTTTTGGAGGATTTGTAGGCCAAGGACCTAGTCTGTAGCTCCCAGAACCACTGTATAGCATGTAGAATCCATAAGCAGGGATATATCCATCTGCTCTTGGAGGCTGAGGAAAATCATAATCAATATCCATGTCGCAGGGATTGCCTGCCACTCGGTTAGGTTTACGAAACAAACTCAGCGGGGATTCTCACTTGGGTCATAACCGTCGTAGGCACGTCGATCAAGTGATTGAGAACTATATCTGGACTCTGATACTGATGATAATGTCTGATCAATCTCCCTACTAACGTCGCTAGCCTCTGGATTGTCTCTTTTGCTGGTGGAGCTCTTCAGGGAGAATGAGGAGTCTACTGCTCCCATATTCGAAAAACTACCTGAGAATATGATGTTGCTGGAGTACTGATTGGGGCATACCTGCGTAATGGTCTTGATATCTTCGCAACAAACTGAAATGTAAGTACCATGGGCACAGTCCTTCTTGTCTCTGGCTGGGTGCGTATTCTGAGTGAGATAGATGGTACCCTTAGGGCAGCGCTGATCACAAATCTTGCTCTAAACACTGATATTAGCCATGTATATATGATGCACTTAGAATTGTCGCGTACCCCATCTGGCCGTCTATTCCAGGCGCAATTGCGCCCGACGGCCTCGTTGCTTAGACACAACAACCTGTTTAGTGACCCATGACAACCCTCAACAGCCCTGAAGTCGTCCGCGTCATACACCTTTCCATGCCCCACTAGCAGCTCGTGGTACCCTACGAGGACATGAGAATTTAGCGCTGTCGGTAAATCTGCAGGGTGAGGATAGAGACACCTACCACCAGGGCAGCCCAAGACCTTTTGCTCCTTTTCTGTCATGCAGGGAGTCCAGAATGCCAATTTTGCAGACACTGCCTGCTGAGTATTGGCTGCCTTCTTTGCAATACTAAAACCATTCGTGTTGGTCATATTCCCCCCTGAGTTGAGATACTGTGCTGATTGGGAGTCTGCGTTGTCCAGATCCAAAGCCCAGACCACTACATGGGAGTCAGAAACAGTTCTGTCTTCAGCAATTGAACGGAGCAGCCTACTAGTTCCGCCCAGCCCGAGCTTGTTTGCGAAATCCATCTTTATCTGGAGCGTGTCGGCGTCATCATATGAGACCCATTGATTATTGTCCTAAGTGATGTACTTCACTCCGGCAGCCTTATCTAAGACTGGTGTAAGGTCATGTGCTCGAATGACTCTGTTGATCTCTGCATTAGAGAGAATGCCGGCTTGACCTGTGCATTCTCTGGGATTCGCCCCAGAGGCAAATGGACAGCCGGGAGTATTGCATGATGGATCTGATAAAGTAAAGGACTGGCCATAGAAGCCAAGGCCAAGCACAACCTTCTTTGAGGGAATGTTATTCCTCCATAGAAGATCAAGCCCCTGTGATATCTCCGTCAGGTTAGTATGAGGATTTACAACCTGCTTTGTGTATCTACCTGACTGTCAGTCATACTTTCTCCGTAGTGGACGAGGTGTCGCTAGGCCCACTGCACATGATGACTTACGCATTGTTGCCATCCCAGGTCCCATGTATATCATAGCTCATAAAGTTGAACCAATCGACGTACGGTTCAAGATTTAACACATCAAATCCTTTGAGATACCAGTAGCTGCTTGGGAGGGTCAAAGAAAGTCCGAGCCGTCCAGCTGCCGACTTGAGCTCTTTCATGAATGTGACATAGTTGGCAAAATCTTCCGCTCGCCCACCACGATCATCGTCAACAGGGTCTATGAGAACTGTGGTGAGATGAATCCCATAATTAGCAGTAGGGACGCATACATTCCCAGTCGATATCAATGCCATCGAACGCTTGTGTCTGGCAAAACTGGACCACAGACTTAATGAATGTAGCCCGATTTTCCGGGGTTGACACCATATCGGAGAAGACCTTGCCTCCGGCATCCCAACCTCCGATGGCTATGAAAACCTGAATGAAGTTGGTCAGCAAAAGAATGTCTGACTGGCAGTGGAAAAGGAAAGAAGAGAGAAAAAGAAGGTGAATAATGAGACGAGCAAGCTTCACCTTGAGACTGGGATTTTGCAGCTTGAGGGCGGCGACTCGAGGATACAGTTGATCATCGTACGAGTTCATTTTGGTGAGCTGAAAGGTCTGAGGATGGATCAGTCCAAAAGCAAAGCTGGTAAACCACTGCAATCAGTAAACTCTGAGTAGTATGGAGAGTTCCACTTTGTTACTTTATATGAGTCCACAGATTGGCATCGATATCTTCCGGCGCGACGGAGTCGCATTGACGCCCATACGACCACGCTTCGTAGTAGCCGATTGTCCTAGAACGAGCACTGGCTCCTGTCCCAGATGGCCGTTCGATCTCACCACAGCCATTTTGACACCCATCGCCGCAAAACCTAGAAAGGAAGCCAGTTGAGCATGCCAGACCTCTAAATGGAGACGGGGAAAGTCTCACTCTGCTGTTGTTCCACAGAATCTAAAACACGAAAGAGTCAGCAAGATAAGCAAGTTGATTAGTCAGGCATCAACACCAACCCAAATGATGAACAACAGACATTGAGGGGGCATTTCTCGTGCCCTGCTGGTGCATATTGTCCACACTCTGCTTTTGCATCGCAGGTGCTTTTGCAGTTCCCTAGGTCATCCCATTGTTAGTCTTCCTGCACTCCATCTACATGTACTGTTCAAAGCCATATGGATGTTGATCCGTACCGTTTCCACAAAATTCAGGGCCAAAACCACAGCTTCCTGCTTTACGGTCAGCTTGTGTGCGCCTGGTAATCAAGGAACCTTCGAACCATATTTTGAACAGCATCCAATTTTGCAGGGGCTTGTTTCTGAGCAGATAGCATCCTGCTGACACTGAACCAGCGTCGGATGTATTAATAATAGTAGAGAAACCACCACAAGCAACTGAAGAATACCTAACCTACGAAACTTATTGAGGCCCATCATTTTCGCAATGAGTTAGAGAACAATAACGGGAAACGCTATACTTGATGGGTTCTGCACAGGCTTGAAGTACTTCTGCTGAGCCACGACTCGGCCAGGTACAGACCCATAAAAGAGGTTCCGGTTTGTAGTGGAGAACCTGCGTGACCAGTGCTCAGTACAGCAACACGGAAATAGATAGATACCACCGGACTCGAGTAATGAGATAGTAGTACATCATAATACTAAAGATGGGTTAGGTAACATCATATGATGATACGAGGTCCAGACCGAGGCTGGACTGTAGTTAGTGTGACCCAGTGGACCTAAAAAGAGCGAGATCATACATCTTGATCTCGACCTCCTTCAGTCTTCCCTGTTCTGGATATGATCGTCAAGGGTAAAGATCCGAGTGGGAATACGACACGAGCACCCGCCGATAATGGAGCCTCGGAGGAGCGGAAGGAGGAGGAAGAAGGGTTAGACGAGAGTAGGCCCACACGGAACAAATAGGGTGGCTCATGGACCTGAAGTAGGATCTGCTTGACTCATGAGGCACGAGAGGCCGAGAAAGGCGCTGAGAGATGGATTGTTAGCAATGTTCATCTATAAAATAGTGTGAAGATCCGGCCGGCGTTTGCCTATCAGAGTAAACATACCACAACAAGGCTGCGTTGTGGAGCTGTATGCTAAACGGTCGGTGAGAGCATTGGTTCGAGTTCTCTTTCCAGTTTAGGTAAAGTATTCTTGTAGATACTTGGTACTATATGGCGTCTTGAAACGCCCTAGGATCTTGGAGGGCTTGGCGGTCTTAGTGTTTCACTGAGGCAAGCACTCCCTTTGGCTCCTGCTTGTCCTGCCCTCATAAAAAGCTTTACGATGGGGTCTCGGATTAACCCCACTATAATTTCCCTAAGTCCTAGTCTACGGAGTACTCCGAAGATGAAAGCTCATATTTCATCTGAGGCGGTAGTGTCATTTTGATATTGTTTCTTTGCACCGAATCCCATCATGTGATCGATGTGATCGATGTACCTTGCCTGACGAAGTGCCGACACTGCCGAGTAAACAAAGCTTAAGAATTCAAGAATTACGACCCACTTCGGACATGATACATACCTTATCCGGCATTAGTGCTGATGTATTTTCGCCCAAGCTAAAGAGTAAAAACGGAGGAGATTGATTGGTTATCCAGTGGTAGATACCTACGACTGGGTATTGGTAACACTAACCAGAAATGATACTAGCAATTTTATGATGAAATGGGGAGGACTGAAAATGCATATATACTATTCTGCGAGTTATGCCGCATGCGAGCCCACTCATCCTGCTGTCTTGTTCTCTGTTTTTGAGGGATTATCCAACTCCTCCGCCTGTTGGACTGCAAGAGAGCTGTTTTTCTTCCAGTGAGAAATACCCTCACGATGCTTGTCACTAAGTTAATATTGGGGGTATCTCTTGCTGTCGCAGGTAAAGCTTATGCGGCAACTACCCTGTTCAACGGCCTTCAGTCTGCCATCTTCCTGACCACAACTTCGGCGGAATGCCTTGCAAGCTTTAACACATCCCTGTAATGCGATCCTCTTGTTTCTCGTCTGTACATGCAAACAGATTGGGTAGGGTGGAATGCAACAAACCTAACAGTGTTTGTCCCGCCAGATAATTGGTGACTGAGTGCAGCTGCTGATACTATGGCAGTCTTTGCACGCTGGAATGCCGTCAATCCTTGAGCAATTTGAAAGGAATTGTGACATCCAACTGCGCGGGCTTGTCAATTCCCCTGGGCGGCTCGACAATGGATGCGGAGAAGATAGTTGACTTCTATGAGTACAAATACAATCTTACATGCTTGGCCGACGGCTCCTCCTGGTGCTTGCTTGAGCAGGATAAATGGTTCATTGAATATCTTCCGACAGTCACTTGGCCACAATACACGGACAAGTGGTATCCGGATTGGATAAGTCAGTTCTTTTTCTAGAGCTCTAGCATGGCGGAAAATTTGGGTACACTGACGACGGCGCACAGATGATCCTCTTAATGGGACCAACGCTGTAGATGAAAACGGAACTGTGATTCTCCCTTATGACACCGTTCCGCCGCCCCAACCAACGTTCAATTCTGGGAGGAAAGCTGGTGAGCTATAAAACATTTCCATTACATCTGATCCAACGATAACTGAGTGCCTTTCCCCAGCGCTTGACTACCGATATATCGGCAAACCCCCGGCTGAGGGCACGTTGAATTCTAGCTTGGGATTAGAGTATGACGAATACCCCCTTGAAATCCAGTGCTCCCCTTGTTTCCTGCAGCGATTCAAACTGGGGTTCATGTCCAGATGGGGTGAGACATATAAGTAACGTACTCCTTCCATCATTTCACTCCAAGCATCAGAGGATTGACTGTTTTTCGCAAATCAGCGAAGTGAAGGCTCAGGCATGGGCAAACATTCAAAAGAACTGCGGCTTTCAAGAAGATCTCTATGTTTTCCCTGTCCTTGATCAATCTGGACCTCCCCGAGCAAAGTAAGAGAGTCCCTTGAATGTTCTTATTTTTGATTAAGTGGGATCTAACCTGAACATCTGMATCAAGCCGCGCTGAGCTACAATGGACTGGTCCTAGTAAATGTTTGTGTACTGTGACCCTAGACGCACCATGGGTGAACTGCAGTACTTTCTCAGTGGAATATCAGGTAGCCACAGCTTCCCTGCGCGACCTTAACTGAGGTATCAATTGCAGGTGTATGGATAATGGAATATATTGTCTTCCTGAACCCTGCAATGTAGTGAAAATCTGGGTTGATGGTGGTATTTGGGGAACAGAGCTCATCAAGCCCGACGGCCCTTATTCCAATATATTATATTTACAGTTCATGAGGTGGAATGCAGCAGCATTACACGAGCCGGTGTTCCCAGGGGATACTATTTGCATTGGGTATGGTCATATAATCCTCTGTCCCTCCCTTATATGACTCAGTGATGTGCTGACACTCTGGCCCTTAGGCCCCCTGGAGGTGCATATGCCCCTCCTGCTGCACCTATACCAGTTTCACCCAATACTATGTACACCACTATAGCAGTACCATCGTTGGGGACGCCTCCGGGAACCGTCTCTAACTGTGGCCTGTACTATGATACAGTGACTGGCGATGACTGTAATATGATTGTGATGAAATTCTCCATTATATTCGACCAACTCCGCCTGATGAATCCTCAGATCAATGTGGACTGTACTAATCTATGGGCAAACACTTCCTACTGTGTAGCATTAGTCAGTGGCACCACTGTGACAACTACTGCCTCTTCCTCAGCCAGTCCGACTCCGACCCCTTCGTCAACTGGCGGCTCGATCAGCACCTCGCCCACCAGCACGACAGTGGCACCACCAGCGCCAACCCAGCCCGGGGCCACTTCCTTCTGCTATGAGTGGTACGTTGCTGTGGCTGGAGATGATTGCTCTAAGATTGATACCAAATACGGGATCACATTTGCACAGCTGAGAGCGTGGAATCCATACTTGGACAGTACCTGCAGCAATCTCTGGGTGGACTACGCTTATTGCGTGAATGGGGCGTAAGTATCGACGTGTTGAAGTCCGATCTCAATTGGACCAAAATTAGGATCTTGAAAGGGGCGAAGGGAAGCCAAAGTTAATTGAAGTCATAGAAGAAGTGCATTGGTCGGCTATTTTCTATCAGCTGTGTTGGGCCACAAAGGAATTCTTGTAATATCAGTATTCTATATGTTCCGTTATATTTTCCAAGGAAACCAGCTATTCCTACGCTTGCTACCAGCTTTACTCAGGATACACTACACTTCGGTCTTGGCTCTACTCATTCCTTGCGCGATACTTTGGACCTATAGCCCCTGCCATATCATTATCCCACCTTGGGTGGATATAGTGAATCTACCCTTTGCGCCGCTATATAGGTTCAGATTCCCGAGGTGGTTCCTATCTGACGGGAGTATTGGTCTTTTGGCCTTGTGGGGACACCAAAATCCGGCCGGATTCCTTGCACCAAAAGTACCTTAAGGATCTTGTTAACATTTATCCTGGGGATATCTAAATAGTAAGTATTATGTTGCAGAAATTTTACATGTATAGGTTATTGACTTATTGTATACATAATAGCTACGGGATTTTTAGCCAGGGGGCCTTGACTTAGAAAGGCGGCAGAAATAAAGACTTGCAGGAATTGGCATTGAGTCCATCACCATGTGTTATAGATAAAGCATTGAAATTTGGACAGAGGAATATCAATAAACCTGGGAAGGGAGAATGGATGAATTAGAGTGCAATATAATAGTATAGATAATAGATGGTAGCAATATGTTTTCACATGTATAAGAGCTATCTATGTGTTAAATATGTCTATTCTCTATACTCCTGTATACAGATTATGAGAGGTGCAATAATGGGGCCTGTTATGATTCATGAATTTAACTAAGTATTAGGTAATTATCAGCATGCCTCACTGTTATTCTATTATGAAGAGTACCCACTGTACCAGGTTCTGGTTCTCTTAGTCTTAGGGATCCACAATTTTATATATGAATACGTAATATTAAAAATAAGTGCATAAAACATGCCAAGACCAGACTGTCCATGGAATAGAGATTGGTATAATACAAGACACCTGCATAACTCCGTACAACTACGCAATATCTTCCCCGCCTGTTTTTTCTCCCTCTGCTCTCTCCAACTCCCACGAAATAACCACTTATACTTACTCTAATCATTATGGATCCAATTCGCGAAAAACACAAGTGTCTCATCAATGGACTCACGCAACTCTTCACTCTATTTGTCAAAGCCCATTATATCGCCCCTAATGATGTCCTGTATCCTCCCTACGACACTGATGTTGGACGCCTCCAGAGACTTGGATTTGAGCCCGAAGTGATTGGTCTCGTCCAACACCTGCCAGCGATTAGAAATGAAGCAGTCTGGAGTTACAACGATGAAGGAATAGAAATGATTCCTCGTGCCAAGCTGGTTAATTATCTGAAACAGCGAGAGACAGCTAATGCTAATGACATGTTGGAGACCCTTCGATGGGTCGATCACACGGATAAGGATGCGCAGGGACTCTTTCCTCCGTCCATCCTTCGACTGACATTCCCTGCTTTTTATGGAGTAAATGTGCTCTATGACGCCCATGACCGTACGTTGCTTCTCTCCTTGGGCTCTTTTTAGTTGGTCAATGATCTAGCTAACCGTGCACCAGAGACTATAATGGAATGGTGTGACCTGAACCAAAAGGAATGGCAGGACTGCCCCCGCCAAACATGTGAAGATTTCTTCTCAAAGGTCCTCAAGAAATTCCGGGATCTTGAATACGTCCCGTATTTTGATCCGAATGACGGAGCGAGAGTTCCAAAACGTAAAATTAAGGAGAATCCCATTCTATTCCAGAACATTTTCCCCGGCGGAATTCGGTATCCCACTGATCCCCAGGCTGCTGTTCAATGCGAGGACAGGGAAGTCGGCCAGGATAGCATACGTGGTGATCTTAATGAGTGGAGGGCTCTACAGAAGCTCTACCGCGATGCGGGCTGGGAGAACGAATTCGACGGAGAGCTTTTCGACAATAGAAGAAGGGATTTGTTGCGTGTGATGAAGGATCTCCAGGGCCAATCCAGCGGATGGTACTCGATTCCAGAGAATAGGAAAACAGAGGAGATGCGGATCGCTGAGCGGGAGTTTCGTCAACGTCGGGAGGAGTTTTGGGCCGAGACTGCTGGAGAGTACTATCTTTAACACATTCGACGTGGCTTGTAACTTGCTTAGACACACTAGCCAAGAAGAGGACTTCGTTTGTTTGGGTGTCGAAAGAACGATAACGCTCTACAAATTCGAAAATCTTCACTAGCAAACAAATTGCTTCTCGAACGTCATCACTGGCCGTCGGCAACGGCGATCTTGCTTCTCTTACAGAGGATCAGCTACGCAATGCATTAAAAGATCTTGACTCCAATCATGAGATCAATGACCCTGCTATTTCCCGGTTGCTATTCGTTATGAAGACCATTGCAATATGGGTTCCCGGGTCTTTCGCGCAAAAATTGAGAATGCGCTCTGAGATCCGAGGCCTAATTGTCCGCTTTCGAATGCCTGCTTTTTGGCTCACTATCAACCCTTCAGATCTTCGGAGTCCACTTGTTCTGGTCCTTGCCGGCGTCGAGTATTCTGAAGACATCCTTTCTGCCTCAAACTCGGCTATCCGTGCTGCCACCGCGACGTCGAACCCGGTGGCGGTTGCGACCTTCTTCCATCACGTCTGTACCGCTGTTCTTGATGGTCTGTTAGCCAGCGGCAAGAATCACGGAGGGATCCTCGGAGACGCCTCTAACCATTATCGGGTGGTCGAGACCAATGGAAGAGGCATGTTGCACTTGCACCCCATGGTATGGTATGGCTACGGCGCAATCTTTCTTTCGGTACTCTGCGGTCGCGTTCTCTCCGACCCCGAATTTGCTGGCCGTATGATCCATTACCTGGAAAAGGTTATCATCCAAAGCGTAGACGAGAGTATTTTTACTGATCCGGAAGTGAATCTTCCAGCTACCGGTCCGTCGGCTTCCGATCCAGAATCAGACTACGAATTCAACCTCAGACTGGCGCATGATAGCAATCTCGTCGCTCGACCTAACAATTGCACTCCAAGAACCACTTAGCCACTTGCTTCAAAAACCGCGCTAATGTCCGCATCGAGGGTCTTGTCGCTTTGGCATGCCTCGAGAACTCGTGCCGTCCTCGAGGATCGACAAATTTGGCGTTATTCACCTAGCCCGAAACCATCCCTGGATTAGCCCGTGGAATCCGGCTATCGTCAGGTGCCTTTGTTCAAACCACGGCATTTCTTGGATTCCAACTGTCTCGAAATCCCTGGCTCTAATCTACTACATCACTAACTACGCCACAAAAGACGATGTATCTCCGTGGCAGTTTCTGAGAAAGGCGGTGCTGCTGCGTCAAGCCATCGACAGGGCCAAAGTTGCCGACCCGCCAACAGCAACTGATCTCAGTCTGAGGGAAAGAGGAATGGGCTTATCCAGATCGATATCACGCCAGATTGGCAGGTGAGCGCTTAAGACAAAGTTGGTTTGCGCACCGTTGTAACACTCTGTCAGTCTCCATATATTCCTTCTGCAGCCGTATCGATTTCGACTGTCCAGCCGGGATCTCTTCCATACATCTCAGAAGTAGATCTTGTGGTTGTCAAGATAGACAGTTGTGGTTTACGGGCCACCCCCGCAAAAGAATTGCGTGATGCAACCGATGCCAGGTCCCTGGCCGATGATCTCAGCTCTAAGGGACCTATTGTCCTATCACAGACTCAAAGAAATGCAGTTCTCCAGGGCTTGGATGATGTGGTGCGGCTCTCTGGTAAAGACCAGACCTGGTGGAAGGCACAACTGGCGCTACGCTGATGTCAATATCATACTATTTTTCCGCTTGTTTCGACTAATCATTTGTACGGAGTACCTATTCACTACTCCACCCAGTATAGTCAACTAGGCTTCCTTGAATGTCAAATCAGGACGTCCTTCTTAACGTATCTTAAAGGCACTTCCGTCGCTACATTGGGGAGTTCGCCTTCACTGGAATTTATGACGACCGTCAAGCAACCGTGGCTCGGCGATGTTCCTGGGCGAGTATCGTGCTCAATTGTCCTGATGACGGTGCTATGAGTAGCCGTTTGCTGAATGAGCTACGAAGACGGAAACAATAGAGTCCCGATCCGACGTGACTTCCGTGGATACAAAGAGTAAGCAGTGTAGAGCATATGTCACGTGATACCCCTTTTCATGCGCACGTCCTGTCATCTAGTCAAGCCTTTCGTCAAACAAGACACAAGCGGTGTTTTGGCTGATTCTGGTTGTTTGACAAGCGTTCACGATGAACACCGGCGATGGCCGAAAGGTCGAATCTTGCGCTCAACGGCCGAAGATGAACGCTGATATCCGCGACGGGACAGGAGCTGCGATATCGATATAGTGTTGATACGCCTGGACGAGAAGTAAAGAATTACGACGAGTTCATCTCGTGACCAACGCGGGGCAGTCTTCATCATTGAAAACTTAAGTATGGAGTTGTATGTGTTCGTCGACGAGGACTATCAGCAAGGCAACACTCCTCTAGGCGGTGAATCCTCACCTATTATCTTTGTATTTGAGCGGCACGGAATAACCGCCCATTGCCTGAGAACCTAATACACTTTGCAATTAGAGTTATCCACTAGTATCGAATCTACACTTATGTTAAGCAGCCCCTGTAGACTTTGTTCCTCATTCATCATTTTAAGATCATTTCCTGTGGCCTAGCAATGCCGAGCCCCTGGCCGCCATCTTCACCAACAACTGGTGGGCGGACAGCGCGACCGGCACGGTCGTCTACTCCGCCCGGAGTATGTTCCGCTTCACGGCATTCCAGGCCGCCACGAATAGCGAAGGCGGCGGCATCGCATGGGCCACGGGACCCTATGCTGACGGCGGCTGGGAGCCGGGCGTCATGCCGACGCTCCAACAGATCGGCTCGTGGATCTAGGGCATCCGCGAGTCCATCTTCGGCACGCGGCCCAGCACATCCTACCCGACCAACCCCGGCACCACCATCGCTGAAGTCTCATGGGGGTCGGCGACCAAGTCCCCTGACGACTTAGTCGAGTACATCCACGTGCTCAAGCCACCAACTGGACTACCCATCACTTGGTGCCTTACGTTTGGGGCGTCCGCGTAACGGACCACCTTCGCGAATGGGACAGTATTGCGAGACTGCCATTGTGGCTGCATTCCGACGCGCCCATTCTCCTTCGAGCGATGGAGATGGTCGGCCATGAAAAGAGCTTTTCGATCAGGTAAATCCTTTCAGGTGGCATCTCATCCCCGGTCCGGAGAACTTCCTTGGCTTCCTCGTCATTGAGAGCTGTCCCAGACAGTTGACGTTCAATGTCGATGACGGCCTGCTTCCTATCAAATTCCTCTCGAGTCTTTTTTCTGAGGGCCTCATACAGTCGGTTGTACGTGCTCAGGACTTTACGTCTTAGTCGTTGTAACTTTGACAGCATCTGGCTGCTGGGGTTCTCCTGGCATGCTTTCTCCTGCTGGTCCCGCTGGCTGACAGCTGCAAGGTAATCCGGATGCTCACGAATGGTTGGATCTAAAGCTATGTCTTAAAAAGCCGGGCGGATGTACAACGTGTGTTGACTATTGCAGCCAAATCTGCTGCCTGGCGGAGGAAAAGCCCCTTGATTCGAGGCCATGTGGCTCAACTATTCCTGGGATGATAAAGCCAGGCATTCCAGCTTATCATGATAACTTGATACACGGTTATGCATTCGATCCAGGATACGAGGCAGCTTGCTGTGACAAAGTGCCGTAGTTGATTAACGGATCATCTGGAGCAGACTAATAGTTCTATACGAATTTACTGTCGGAAATACGAAACCCACTCCTTGGCAGATTATCCGAAAGCTTGACCTTGGAGATATTGTCAGAGAAGCAGTTCCTCTGGAAGACCAAATAAGCCCTCAAGAGTTGGTCCAAGCCGACCTTGCCGCTGAGCCCAGCGGTATCTCAAGGGTTCGCGGCCTCTGCCAGTTAGCTGGATTTACTTAGGCTGGGGCTGAGTGACATAGAAACCCAAACGGGCAGCTTCAGACCCAAACTGCTCCCTCTTTCCAGGACAAAGCCATGGTAGGTGCATGCTCTATCTCTATCCTTGTATACATTGCCACACTTACTTTTATTTCTTCTTGTCTGTTCACATGTTCGACAGACGCGCAGGCGCTTGACGGTTCTGCTGGAGCCCAACAGCAGCAGAAAGACGTCGATGCCACTATGATCATATTCGATTCGGCTTCAAAACATGTCGGCCGCAAATGGTGCGAATCTCCATGAATTTTTCCCATGACGATGAATGTGCGAGAACAATCAGACCTCGGCAGGGATGATCTGTAGAACCTCAATAGGCGTATCTTTAAGCCTTGCAGGTTCTATCTCCTTCAATACCTGAACAGTTAACCCTTCGAGATCCAACAACTGGTTGCGACCCACAGGACCACTAGCAAAAATCCACACGACGTACTCTGTGGGTCTTGTTGCGACTCAATGTCTCGCTGGCTTTTCGGTTCCTCTTCCTAGCTTATACTCTTTTGCAGCCTTTCGATCACAGTGCCTTTCAAAGGGATACTTTCTTCGGCAGAAAGACTTGCAGATAGTTGAACCCGCCGGATCTAGGGTTTTTCACTTTGGCTCAATTGATTTAGTCACATTACGTATCGACAGGATCGTGCTCAACCAATTGGTACAAGGACCAGAAGGGCAAAGGCTTAAGCCATAACACTGCTATCCACGTTTCCTTCAATAATGCAAATGGCACCGAGGTTATTCTCCCGTCGGCAGTATTTGACACTGTGACATCATATGCGCAACTCTGGACAGGTTACTGTATGCACATCGACTTGCATGCTGCCTTCAAGTACTGCCCCATTCGGCTGCTAGCATACAAGGGCTACCTCAAGTTGTAAAAACCCCATCCTCTATGTCACAGAAGAGATCCACCATATTTATTCCATCATCCATGCAATGCCATAGCCTTACTAGAGCATAAATTGAACAATTCATCCACCCTTTATATTCTTCCACTCCTTCTGTTTCCTCTGGATCTGGGAATGCCTCAACAACCTTAACATACCACTCCCGAATTTCCTCCACGCAATACAAGCCATGCATTTCTGCATGCTCCTCAGCTGATGGCACCTTATTAAGTAGCTGAAGAGTTTCCTCATCAATTACCATGCAAACGCGATATTTATTCCACCTGTCTTTCTGCCCCTGCCCTTCCACCCATGATTGAAAATGGGAACGAACGTCCTCAATTGTCGCGCCGTCGAGTGTTTGCGAATCTTCCGTAATAGTTAGGCGGTGACAAGCCCATAGCTCATCATTAGGTGTGGGATCTGGATCTTGGACACCAGCGTGGCGGAGGTCGTGGTAGACTTCTCGTTTAATCCAGGAATTAATGATGTCGATTGCCTTGCAGAATGCTGGGTCGGATTTATATGTAGTGCGGTAGACAACCCAGCCCCATGATTCTTGACGCCGTTCGTCGATATCAGCAAGCATTCGACGGGATAGGCGGTTCCTATCTAGCAGGGTCTGATGTCGGGCAGGTACAGGGAACATGGCGATTTTGGAATGAGAAAGATATAGTCAGTTGAGGGATTATAGGAAGGCGGCTGAGGAAAGAAAAATAGAGTGAGCAGTAACAATTAGATAAGCCAGGGTCTACCATCCGGTCCCACAATGCATTGTTACCGATCGCTAAGACTTCCAACGGAGCTACGATTATTGATGCCTAAACACACCCGAACATCGGCCCACACCGTATACCAGACTATCAGTTTCCGGAACACAATCTTGACCGAAGGTGGAGATGCGGGCCGTAAAAGCACCCGCGGCTTTTGATGTTGCGCATCTCAGTTTCCATCCTTTCATAAGCGACGCTTGACGCCGCTGCACCTTCTGTAGCGTCTATATTTTCGAACTCCTAGATGACCTGGATGACACTTTGCACCTTGCACGCTGCTGCAGGAGGATCTACAGGACTTTTAACCCATCAAACACCCGATTGAGAATCTTCCGGTCCATTATCGTACGTCTTCATCACCATTAGGCACTCGGTTCTAACAAATGGACTAGAGGATGCGGACCATGGATTCGGTTTGACCTACAAACAATATCTTAATACTCCTCACACGAGGAGCGATCACGTTGTCATGAATATTCCTTGCGTTTAGCGCAGGGAGGGAACTAAATCCCCAAGGCCTCACTTCCTTGATTGACGTCCATAGTTCTCGGGCTTATTCAGTTAGAGATGAAACACTGCCATTTCTTCTGCTCAGCTACTATATAGCCGCGCAGGTCCCCCAGAATATGCCTGTCAACTAGGCGGAGTGACAATCTATGTCAATTGTGCCTTGCCGACGCAAGCCATGAGCGCAAAAAGATGCCCCACTAGTCTTATTGGACGGAATTATCTCCCAATTACAGGCAAGTCGGAGACAAAAACCAGCATCACACGGCCGCTGCTGAGCAATGACATGGCGTCAAACTCTAATCCGATCATGCTGGGGAAAACCATCAACAAGCGCTGCGGTAAATATCTGTCAAACGCCACCCAAATGCTCATTTGGGACCACTCATTCGTCAGGACATCTCTTCCTTGATAGATTGAATGACATGGTCGAGTAGTCGGGAGTCAGTGCCAGTCACGTCGACTTCGTTCGATGTACGATTATTGTTATCCTCAAACCAGATATCATCTTCGTCCACATCGCATTGGACCATTCTGAATTTCGTGATCTGGAGATTCTCCCGGATTGAAACCAGAAGCGTTCTCTACGAGCCACCTGTTTCTGTACAAAGTCCAGCGCAGTTCTGGGAGATCTAAAGTTGTCAATGGTGATGCTTGTGGTACGATCTTGCATGAAACTGACGATCCAGGATCGGATGATGGTCGGGATCCCTTGTGCTTTGAGTTGACGGTCAAGGGCCCTGCTGTTGACCCCATTGAAGGCACCTTTGAGATCAAAGGCTACCAGCGTTACCACCCTGGCTCGGATGCATGCCCGATTGACGGCGTTGGACACCACCAGCAGTGCCTGCTCGGTGTTTCGTCCTTATCTGCCCGCGAATTTGGTGTCCGTGTGACTGAGGGGATGTCAAGACTCATAATTACTGAGTAGAGCGGTCGTTCCTGGCAGAGGCGCCTGGAGGAACACCAGAACGTGTAGCTCCAACAGCCATGCCACCAAGGACATTGGGAAGAACACCAGTGTGTACGAGAGTAATCCTTGACGCCAGGATCTGGTTTTTCAGCTCCTGTAGAAATCGTGCGATTGGCGTATCAACACGAATGTTCAGAAGTTGGAGTAAGTATGCTTGGTTCTCCACTGTTATTGCGCATCAAACAATTAACTCTAGTTATCAGGATTATGTGCACAATGTCTATCAAAAAAAATACGCCGAATGAGAGGCCCAGATTGCAGTGGTTGAGCATTTTCGAGCGGAGTGAGCCAGCTTTGACCAACTACACGCCATCACTTTTTAGGTGACCTTGGGGAATGAACGACGCTTGTACCCTTAATTTGCATTTTGAACAATGTATACAGTGCTTTTTTTGCGATGTGTGTCCAAATTCGAAGCAGGTCGCTAATACCAAATCGTTCAGCTTGAATCTGCGTAGGCCCGGAAAAATCTGAGTCGGTGGTGGTGATGCCGTCGCGTTCCAACAGGATGTACGCGTCAGATAGTTCAAGCATTGTTCTTGAGCGCCTCTTTCTCACCAAATGTGTGCAACACGTTCACCAACCGAATGCTGTGGGGCGAGGCCCTCCGTGCGTATGATCAACTCTTTAATACTTCGTTGAACCAACACTTTTAGCGTGCGTGCAATGCTGCACACAAGGAGCTGACAACAACGTCGGCAATTTCCCCGCGTCCAACACCATTAGATAGTGAAGCCATCTTTTAAGGCTACCATGAATTCCGGCAGTTGGGAACAGCTTCCTCTCGTGCCTCAAGGATTTGGGTCTGACCGGCAAAATAAGGCTGATGAAAATCAATTAAGGTGTTAAAAGTTTGATGTTAGTCCAACCGCTCAAGGATTCCGCACTGAATCACCCCTACTTTAGGGGGTTGATAACTCTGGTTGAGCACCTTGAGAGTTGAGCATTTGATTGTTGATGTTTACAAAGTCACCACTCTCATTCATGTCGGGCGAGTAATAAGCGGGTCTGCTCCCAGCCCCTAGAAACTCGAGCAGAACGTCGTCAAGAGCTCGAATGAGACATGGGTATTCGAACAAGCCGTTGGTGCTTAGGTAGTCGGAGAGGTAAACTCAAGCGGCTTTTATTTTTGCCTAACAGTTGATGATAGCACCTGGAAAGCCTTCCAATGCGTTTGGGTGGCTGTAACTTCCATTGGTTTCATTTATGCACTACTCTTGAAAACCGGGTGTAGGAAGGATTCCTTTCCACTCTTCACTTGACCGTGTTGACACTCAGCGCCCTCAAAATGCACGTATTTTGTCCGTCGTAGAAAAGAGGTCTGAATGCATTTGATACTTGGATTGGTCTAAGCTATAGACACAAAAAGCAAAGTGGAGGGTTCCAAACGGCAATCCAAATATGATTTACCAATCTGCCCATCAGGTTATCAAGAGACAGGTTTCTAGCGGGCTCCTTTTTCGTACCATTTCTCCGTCTACTGAGTCAGGCATAAGCCTAATTCGAAGGCATTTTTTTTCTGAGAGTCCTTACCCTCCTTTCCAGCGTTCGGGGCCGATTTACTAGAGACATGCCATACGGGAAGGTTTTAATCAAATATAAAGGCACTACTTCTATCTCCTTTAACATATAACACCAGCCTGTTTCCCGCGATCTGACCCTTCGCATTTTCAACCGTTCGCCCTCTCAACGTATTCGGCACACTTTAATTATACATGCAAATGGCGGGCGACACTAAATGGCCTTGAAGATTGCTCCTCCTACAGGAAAAAGTCAGCACCCACCCATTGTTCCTTAGTATATGGCTCGTCAAGCGTGCTGTGAGGTTTGAAAACGAGTCTGCGTTTTCGAAGGCATCACAAGGGAGGTAGGCGTGTACTGTGCAACTATGGTGCAAACCACAATAAGACTAGACATAGACTGGTTCCTCACTTTTCCTTCTCTTCGCCTACCATCAGTCTGTCTTAACAAACTCCTGTAGTTCCTTATTTCGATCTTCAACCTCCTCTTGGAGCATCAAAGTCAGTCCTTCTAACAACTGCAAAGTCTTTGACATTTGACGGTATTAAATTCTTTCCTTTACGCAACCAATCGAGCTATTCGAAACTTGTCGTCCGTAGCGGCAAGGCGTGGTTCTTTGCAAAGGATACTCGCGTATAAAACTCTTGAATTTCAATATGGCACTTGCAACGGGCACCGTCTTGACGTCTCTTGCGTTCGCTAGCGCTCTTTTTGCCGCCATCAGCTCGGCCGCCGCTGTCAACCTGAACGAGGGTGGAGATGTTGGGATTTGGGAGACGGTCACCACTGTTGTCTGGACCACCCTCGACGTGACCACTACCGTCTACCCTGAGGAAGCCGCTGTTATCACTACGACTGTTGCTGTGGTCAGCGCTCGGTCAACCTTACCTGCGGCCTCTGCTCTCGGGCAGGCCAAAACTACGGAGTCTCAGCTTACCCAGCCTTGCCCCACTGCTGTATCTATCCCTGTTGTCGCCGATGAAGTGTCTGCCCAGGCCCCCCAACCTGCCAAGGCCGCGGCTCCGTCCACGTATACTACTCAGGATGCCCAGCCAACCCAGCAAACCTCCAGCAGCAACTCTAGTACAGCTTCCGGCAGTAGAAGTAGCGCCATCTGCTCCAAGGACTCCCCGTGCGTTGGCCAGGTCACCTACTATGACACTGCGACCTCTGCCAGCGCTCCCAGCAGCTGCGGTCTGACCAACGATGGATTCACTGAGAACGTGCTCGCCCTTCCCGTGGGCATCATGACCGACGCTGACTGTGGCAAGACGGTGACAGTCACCTACAACGGTATCACCAAGACAGGTACCGTTGTGGACAAGTGCATGGGTTGCGGCAATACCTCTGTGGATTTGTCCCGGCACTTTTTTGCCCAGCTGGCTGATATAGGTGCGGGCCGTCTCCAAGGCGTGTCATGGTACATCAATTAACGTTGTCGCTCGGTTATTGAAGCAAAGGTCTGTAGCGTGTTTAGGATAAGGTCATCTTAGCATGATTTGCCACGCATTTTCCATGAGGAGAGAAGCCCGACCCTTGTTTCTCCAAGTGCTTCCATCGCCAGTTATCTTTGATGTCATGCGAGATGAGAATCTGCAGTGACGGTTGTTGTAGCCCTGACGTTATAGCTAAATGCAGTAACTAGAAGAAAAAGGGACATGGCAATACAAGAGCCGCCCATACTGCTTGTCGATGTCACCGTGCTGGTGACTAGCCCGCAAAGCTTGCAAGAGAACTGAGACCTGACGCTTGCATGATATTCCCTAGAAGAAGAGCGGCCAGCAATATCTAGAATCACTATTAGGCATACTGTAATCTCTCCCCGTAGATTGAGATATGCTAGTGAAATTCGGGAACGAAATCGCCAGCAAGTAAATCAGAGTGTCTTCCACAGTACCTATCGCACCTAAACACACATGGGGAAACAAAGTACTTCGACATGGCTGAGGTCTAGATAACAACTGGGCAATTCGTTTCAATTTGCAATTGATTGGAGCCATGCGGTGCTCTGTCAGTACCTGGCCTTTCCGTTTGCGAGACAGCTTTACATGGCCGAAGTCAGGTCGATGACACGGCAGTTTCAAACGGGTACGATCGAAATAACTTCACCAAATTCCTGGGACATGTTTGTGTCAGGAAGAAAATTCTGTACTGTAATAATACTCGACTGTACGAGGCAATATGGCGACACGTCAGCGCAGAATGAGTGAATCAATAGCCAGAGCCTCAAATTTCAACTGTGCCAGTTGGTGAGCATTTTATAGTCTGTATGTTACAAGGGCTATCCGCACGCTGGCCGCTCAAGACTGGATTCGAATAAATAATGCATGCGAAGGGGTTATGACCTGGAATGGCAGCATGTGATGAATTGTGACTGCGAATGGACAAATGATGTCGCGAAGAGGTATGAAATAAGCGCTCATCTTCCTGCAGGCGCATATCCGCGCGTTCCCTAACACGATTTTATGGCCGATTCCTATTCCGGTAATGTCCTAGGAGTATCTTGGACTGGGGACAGGTAGTTACGTTATCTCCCTTTTTTGTAGGCTGGATGAGGTAATCCAGAAGGAGTACCAGTGCGATTTGCTGTGCACGAAGTCGCATTCCTCAACGTAATCTGTTTTGACATTTCTCTGGCGCTGAGTAGACGACTCCACAAGCGGTGGTCATGAAGTCAAACCTTGTGTCACTGTTCTCAGTCGCTGGCCATATTGGAGCCACAGGCGTCAATTGTGGCAGCAGGCACCGTAAGAAAAGCTGACCGATTCAAACAAGGCACAGACGCAATTGCAGTCTGGAGCCATCTTTGACAGATAGGTAACTGTTGAGATCTGCGTCGCAGTGGATAGGTGGCAGTAAGAGTCAACCGAAGAGGTGACTGATGATAAGCAGAACTCAAGTCCTCTCTGCCTCAAAAGGCGTCCTTTGCTTAAGACTGTCAACCCTTCTTCTGTACGAGTGTTGAGCACGGTCGCTGAATGCTGAGCATTGGTGACCGCCCGGGGGTCAACTACTCTGATGGTCAACCACTCATGACTAGCCGAGACTCGCACGCAGTTCAACTAGGCGAGAACTCTGAAAATTCCGCAATGGGCGCTTGATGGACCCAGTTCCGCCTATTCAGTGTTAACCGACGGCGAGAATGCGGACTGCTCAAAACAAATGATCCAGCTATTCCTGGAGGCATAGTCCCAGCAACCTCGTTCAGAAAGCCTTTGATGACCGGGTTGCACTCTTTTGTGCCAGGGCCGCAACACTCGCAGGGCTGGCGATGGATTCGGACGCACATGCTCAAGAATACTCTTGCGCAACATTGAGCTGAACCTGCATAGACGCTGTGGCGTAAGACCATGACTATCAACTACAACGTGTCAACAAGATGGGTACCGTTGTGGACAATTGCATTTCCGGCCAGTCCGGGGATGGCGATTACACTCTAGCCCATGGGGATGGCTGTGAAGGGAAGGGGGACTAATGGCACAATTCCGCAATCAGCCCGTCTACCCTGATAACACCGTTGGAGGACGAACCCAATGGCAACGAGCTTGTTGACAAATGGATAGGAGCCCCTGTATTATACCGATATATTCTGTCGTGCGGAGGCAAAGATGTTCGAGTCGGACCACGTCAATGCAAGTGGTGCATGAGTTTGAGAAGGCGTACACGACGGCACAGCTGGAGGGAAGTGCGGACTATGATCGAATTACATCTTACCAGCTCGGTGGTATGAAACTGGTGGTGCGCTTTGAGACGGCCGGATACACTGCCAGAGCTTCAAAGGCATCGACAGCATCGACGGACAGTACGAAAGCCATTCAAGACGTGACGGCATACCCAGCATGCTCAAGATACTATTTCTTTCCTTTTTTTTTTTTGTTTCAAAGCAGATATTGGTAATTGGATCCTTCCCCTTCTCCTAAAAAGAGAGCCAGATCAAGGGCTTTCATGGCATTGTCCTGATTCTTTCAAGCCGGATTGATCATCGGATTACTTCTTATACAATGGCAGTATTAAGTCCATGCCCAACTGGAAAGATCAGACAAAGTATTACGCCGGTGGTGATAGGTACCTGGCCAAATAACTGGGTGTTGACATGGAGTGCGAAGTGCTCGCTCCCTAAGCCACGAGTTGTCATCGTCACCTGGACTGCTGTCCTGGAGTATGGTTCACGACCTCATTTCAGCAACCCATACTCGATAAGCCTTGAACATATTCGCCTTTTTAAACCAACAATCGTACATGCATTTACCTTAAATGGTCACTTGCCTGATCTTGAGCGGACCGATTCTGTGTTAACAGTTCTAGCATACATGTGTTGTCCACTTAGACTTTACTACCCCGATCACCGACAGCAATTTGGTCATGGTGAGCATTGATTAATACGGCTAGCACCGTTCGAAATAATAAACTTACGGATTCGGTGTCGCCGTTCAATGGAGATGGGCGCGCAAAACTCAACTAGAGTGTTCAGGCACCGATGAACGCTCGATGAGCTGCGAGCTTTGTGGATCATCACGCGGTTTCGGCTTCCTGTAAACTCGATTGCAGCTTGCGATATAGTACGCACTGGCCGTCTCGAAACGGCAGAGGCTTCAACCGAGCGACAGGATTCACCCATCAATGCATTCAACCGCCCATCCTTGAGGGACAGATGCCGCAGACTTGCTCAAATGTTGAAATACCCAAATATCAGAGGCCCTGTTGAATGTAAATGTTTCAAAGCGGCACCGCGCGCTCATCATGATAAGTACCCAGCTGACAGAGTTCAGACATTCTTGGTCTACACATCTCGCATCTACCACAAGTGGTCAACGACTCTGATGCTGACGCCTCCACCAGCAGTCTCACTCTAAGGATACCGTAGCTCAGCAACGATGTTCAACCATTCTCCTTCAGCCAACACATATCTGGTGTTCACAGATCGGCTCAACCACTCCGTAAGCTGTTAGGCAATGCGTTTAGGGTGACGAACACTCACATGAGCGGTCTTTTTGCGTTCTTTTAGGGGCGGTGAGTAGTTTTCACTATTTCCCTAATTCCCTAGCTACGCCAGCTACCCATAGCCATGCCACAGACAGTCAGTCAGACTAGGGCCGCGCAAGCACCCCTGCGGTGCAGACATACAAAACGACAGGTTGAACCACTTAGCCAGGACGGTGTGCTAAAAGTACGTGGTGCGAATTGATCAATAGCAGCAAGGAGGGCTAACGAGGCTGCGGCAGAGGGGAGAAAGTTACAAAAGCAGTGAGAGGAGGTGCATGGTAACAAGCCACCACCAGCACGTATACGGGGAATGGAGGTATCAAATATGTCAGCATAGGTAGCAGATGAGAGCAAGTGATTTTTTTAGATGGCGTTGGGAACGGCCTCGAGCATACGAATTCGTTCAAACTTGGTGGTTACGGTGCGGCGCATCCTCACCGCATCCCAGTGAGCCCGCGGGCCCTCGGAATTGAGACACGTATTAATTTCCACAATCACCACTCCCACAACGTATGACCACTCTTGATTATTTTTTCTCCAATAGTATTACTTGATAAATATCAAACTTTAATAGCATACCATAATATCTCATTTGGAAGAGCTTTTTCAACTAAAATAGAAGGCAATCCCTATCGGTTAGGAGGGTCTCCTTACTGTTTGTTAGTGCTTAAGCAAGGATGCGAATGCCAGACACGGTATGAATGCTCCGCTCTCAATTAATGACGAACCCTGATTAGCTAGCTCGTCTACAGCTAGGAGCGTCTCGGACAAAGTCCGCAAAGCCCGCGGGTGGCTCTAGAATAATCAACAAACTGACGGACCAGTTGCGAGGCAACACGCCTTCTGAACCTATTGCTCAGTGTCTTGGAGAGGCGTACAAGAGCACGTTTTAGGAACAGCCGAATGCAAGGGTCACGAAACTGGTAATTTTTACAAACAAGAGGGAATGCCAATTGCTGGACGGGAAGTTAGCAGAGGTGCCAGCATTTCTTTCCATCAAACCAGTGAATGGTAGGTGCAAAGCCGTCTTGTTGCTGGACACGGGTTCAGAAAGCTGTGTTGTAAGTTACACGAGCTGCTTCCGCTCTGCCGAAGGCGACATGCTCAAAGAAGAGATGATCACTGTTCATGGGGTACATTAAAATGGGCCATTCACAGCGCGTAAATTACTGGGTGAACATGCTATCGAGGTAGACGCCTCAATAATATTATGCTGCAGTGGTTGGATCAGCCACGTATGCCTGTCGGCCAGCCCAGTATTGCGCATTTTGTGTCTGACTCACCACTAGAATATCTCCGAACTTGGAAAGCAAATGATTTCATATTATTAACAGCTTTGCGTGCAGCTGGAGCGGCCAGCGGTGCGGCCCTTAGCCAAAGTGTGACGGCTGCCGCAGAACAACTCATCTTGCATTCTCCTCCTCGGGGAGCAAGCCACTCACAATTAAAAGGAAGCTTCTGCGACCTCTCTGCTGCCATACTCTACAATTCTGGCTTTCACTTTTCTATTGAAACCACCATCCGTTTTTAGTTACTTTGAAAATGACAGAACAACCGATAATTGTCCAAGAACTGCCAGAGATCGAATATCATCAGCCATTGTCATCGTGAGTTGTCTTGCGACGATTGCTATCTATGCACTAAATATTCCGATTTCGATAGACCCTATGTGCTTCCAATGGTGACTGTCAATATTGGAGACAAGAGCTATGGCATTCCCGGCCAATATCTGCGGAAATGTCCACAACTAGACAGAGACTGGTCATCAGATCCTAACCTCACCCTTACTGATGTGCACGAAGATGCTGGCCATACGTTCGCAAACTTCTTGTACACGGGAACCTACGAGACGACAAGATCGACACTCGACCATGGCACATCGCGCGTGGCAACTGAATTTAGAAGAAGCGTATTGGTTTATCAGGCGTCTAGAACATACGGCCTTCCCATACTCGAAGCGCTTGCAAGGAGGTATCTCGAATACTTTGGGGAATCAATTCCCATATTAGACATAATAATAGCTGCGAGAGAAGTGTTTCCGAAACTTCCTGATGACGAAACTTGGTTCCCGAGTTATATCAAAAGACGTCTCCAACAATCGTTAGGGACCGGCGGTTTGAAATTCATTGTCAAGGAGCTTTCAAGTTGTATTGCTGGCGAAGAGCGTTTTGGATTCATTATTATGAAGATGATGCTCGACATACTTGCCGCCCGCTTGCAGCGGTTGGATGATGAGTTCAACGAAAAAGGAAAACATCACGGGACACAGAATAATGAGGGGATTGGGCTTGGAGACGTACAAGTCCCTGCCATTGTGCACGAAGAGCGGGTTCCTCTTCCCAATGACTATTCCGCCCCTGAAGAGCCGGTTTCTGTTTGTGATGCCTATGCCGCACCTGAAGAGCCCGTTCCTGCCTCTGAAGTCTACCGTGCTCCTGAAGAGCCGGTCCCTGTTCCTGAAAAGCTGATCCCTGTTCCTGATAACTATGCCGCACCTGAAGAGCCAGTTTCTCTTCCTGACGACTACCCTACTCCTGAAGAACCAGTTTCTGTTCCTGATGACTATGCGGCT